ATTTATAGCTGGACGAATAGACTCAACTCTGATGAACAGCTGCTGGTGGGATCCTACTGGGGTCTGAACATGGAAGACCAGAGATGAATTGCTTGGGATGAGGTGGAGAAAGAGGAGATGGGACACCATGGAAAACAATGCTACCGCACAGGACTCTTGACAGTGTTCTGCAGAGCTCTGCCTTACTTACTACTGTGTGCTGGGTTGGATGGTGGGGACAACTCAGTGACCCGCAGAGGATGAGGGCAGAGGCCCCCAGGAAGCCTGCCACAGCTAGGATGTGTGTAGGAAACAAACCAGTGTGGAACACATCAAAGCTCTCAGAGGAGACTGGGCCCCTGCTACATGCAGATCAAGGTTACGTATAATTTTAGGTTTCTTCTTTATGCTTGTTTCTATTTTCCACAATCTACATTAGGAAAACTAGGGATCCAGTCAACAATCAGATAAATATGTCTTTTTAAAAACATAGAGAAGAACACAATTTGTAACTTTCTTTTTATGTTTTTTTTCCCCCACTACTGGGATCAACCTCAGGGTTTTGTGTATGCTAGTCAGACACTTCACCTCTATGCTATATCCCCAGCCTGAGGTTCTTTCTTAAAAAGAGTTTTTAGGGCTAGAGGCACGGCTCAAGTGGTAGAGTACTTGCCTGGCAAGTGCAAGGCCCTGGGTTCAATTCTCAGAACCACCACAAAAAAAAGGCAAGAAGGAATGGAGGGATGGAGAGAGGGAGGGGAAGGGAGGGGAGGGGAGGGAGGAGAGGGGAAGGAAGGGAAGGGAAGGGGGTACAAAGAGGTTTTCCTTGTTAGCTCATTTCTCACCTTGTCCTTGCCAGCGTCATGTCCTCTCCCTTTCTCTGCCTGCTTCTTTTTCACAGCTGATTCTAATGATAGACACCGCTCATGTTTACCTGGTACATTCGCTGTGTACATCCCAGGCATGGTGCCCAGCACCTGACATACAGAATAGTCTTGGTGTCATTCCTATTTTAAAGAGGAGCAAAGTAAGACTCAGGGAAGTTGAGTCGCTGGAACATGGCCCCTTTGGGTGCCAAAACCCTGGCTCGTAACTACTACCTGTCTTTTTTTCTTTCTCCAGCTTCTCCTCTCTCACCTTTCAAAAATTCCCAACATGGTTTCTCTGTCAATTCTGAGTTGTAACCAAGATTTCTGAACTTTGGCATATTGACATTTCGGAAGGGGTCGTTCTCTGTAGTGGGGGGCATTCTGTGCACTGTGCGGTGCTCAGCAGCATCCCTGGGCTTTCCCCACTCTATGCCACAGCAATTCCTGCCCCATGCACCCAGTCACAATAACCAAATATATCTCCAGGCATGCCAGCTGTCCTCAGAGACCCAAATTACCCCCACTGAAGACCAGTGGTGTAGACCCATGTCTGAGTTGTGGAGGATTCTGGATGGTCTCCAGTCAAACAATTGCCAGAGAAACCCACAGGAACAGTTTGTGCCCTTCTGGCAAGCCCCAGCTCACTGTGGCAGCTGCCACCTGTGAGGACATTCCAGGGCAGGGCTCAAAAAATGTCTGGTGTCCCTCTGGCAACAAGAACTGCAGCAGAAGCCAGGCGCCCCGCCTCTTGCTCTGCAAGCGGGGATGCAAGAGTGGAATGGACCAGTAGTTCACGTCCAGCCAAGGGCAGGGCCCCACATGGATCTGGGGTGGAACTGCCAGGGGGGTTGATGAAGATGTTGAGTGATACACAAACAGATCCACACCGACTGCAGAGTTGCGCTCTGGCCCTGGTCCCGCTCCCACCACGGTGTAGACCGTGGACCCCTCTGTCCGTTTCTACATCAGTAAAACAAGAATCTCAATGCACCTCTCTGTCTCTGGTGCAGAACAGGATGCTGTCCCCAAATGACTCACTCCACCCTCTTACTTGCTGTACTCTTTTGGAGCCCCTGAAGCACAGCCAGCCTTCCAGGTCTGTGGGTTCCACACCCATGGACTCCACCAACCAACGATCGCAAAGACTCAGGGAAAATTGTGTCTCCACCAAACACGTACAGACTGTAGCTTCTTGTCATCATTTCCTGCATGGTTATTTATTTATGTGGTACCTCCATGCTATCATAGGCAATCCAGCAATGGTTCAAAGCACGTGGGAGCAGGTGTGCAGGTTCCATGCAAACGCCACACTGTTTGATGTAAGCGATTTGATCGTCTTCAGATTGTGTGCTCTGAACAAGAGAGCAGAACAAGTTCTGCCTGGAAGTGAGGGGCACCGGGGGGTGGGATAGGGAGGAGGGGGATGGGGGACAGACAGGAGAGGTGGCCCAAACAATGTATACACATATGAATAAATATAAAAACAATCTTAAAAAAAAGATTGTGCTCTCTGTAGGACATCCTGGTTCCGATCCCCACAGAGACTGAGGGAGGGACAATATTGCACTTGCTTTCACCTTCTGTCTTGGCTGCTAAAGTGGTAGCTTCATGAAGCCGTGGCCCTACTCATTGATGTGTCTCAAGAGCCCCGGGCAGTGGCTGACATCATAGATGCTAAGAAGGATGTGCAAGTGACTGTACACATGGGGAGGTGACTTGAAAATATGTCTCAACTGCCACGGACCTGTCCCACCCTCTGTACTGAGTGGCTCCACCTCTGAGAATCTAAACTCCTCTCCTCAAATAATCTGCCAGGGAGAAAAATCTCTGCATAAGTAGATATCCATCATATTGTGACCAAAATCGCACAAGCAATGTTGAAATCCACCCATGTAATCAAGATAAGGCCGTAATGAACACAACCCTATAAATGCATGTGGTTGAGTTCCAGGCAGCCATTATAAATATTGTTTGTAACTAAGATGAGTTAAATTTTACAGCACACTCACAAAAGGATAATGCTTGCTGCAAAATTATATGTGCAACCCAATTATGCAGGTTGTAAAAACGAACGTGCCCCAACACTGGTGGTGGGGATATCATGCAGTCCCTCTGGAAGACAATTTGGAAACTCCTATTGCAATGGAAGCGTGGCTAGGCACTGGTGACGCACGCCTGTAATCCTAGAATTTGAAAGACAAAGATCAAGGAGGATCACAGTTTGAAACCAGCCTGAGAAAATTATTCCTGAGACCCCATCTCCAAAAATGACCAGAGTAAGATAAACTCAAGGTGTGTCTTAAGCGGTACCTGCTTTGAGTGTGAAGCCCTGAGCACAAAACCCCAGTCCCACAAAGAGAGAGGGAAAGAGAAAGAGGGAGAGAGAGAGAGAGAGAGAGAGAGAGAGAGAGAGAAGAGACCCCATCTCCAAAAATGACCAGAGTAAGATAAACTCAAGGTGTGTCTTAAGCGGTACCTGCTTTGAGTGTGAAGCCCTGAGCACAAAACCCCAGTCCCACAAAGAGAGAGGGAAAGAGAAAGAGGGAGAGAGAGAGAGAGAGAGAGAGAGAGAGAGAGAGAGAGAGAGAGAGAAATGTGTTAGCCATGTGTGATGGTACACTCCTGTGATCCTGGCACTCAGTAAGCAAGATCACCAGTTTGAGGCAGCCTGGGTTACACAGAGAGACCTTGCCTCAAAAAAACCAAACCAAACCAAAAAAATTCATTTAAAAAAAGATAGAAGGTAGAGATGGCGAGTACTGCAGTTCCGAGTCAGTCCAGGGAAAAAGTTAGGAAAACTCCATCTCAACAAATAAGCCATGCCAAGTGGTTCATGCCTGAAATCCTATCTAAACAGAGGGCATAAGTAGGAGGATTGTGTTCTAAGGCTGGCTAGGGCAAAAAGCATGAGACTTTATCTGAGAAACAACCTAAAGCTAACAGGGCTGGAGGTGTGACTCAAATTAGGGAGCACAAAGCCCTGAGTTCAAATCCCAGTACCACCAAAAAAAAAAAAGACAAAAGACAAAATTCCAAAAAATATTTTGTACAGTAGCAACAACCTGGGCTGGGGTGTGGCTCAAGTGGTAGAGTGTACACCTAGCAAGTACAAAGCCCTGAGTTCAAGCCCCAGGACCACCAAAAATAAATAAATAGCAACTTCATACATGGTAGCATAAGCATCTTTTTTAAACCTGGAGGAATAAGTTTCAAGCTATTAATAGTGATTGTCTCTAAAGAATTGGCTGAGACTTTACGTTGTAAATTTCTGCAATGCTTGAAATTATTGAACAAGGTAGCAGCAACAACAACAACAAAAACTGAGTTGCAACATGAGTCCACTCGTGCAAAGCAACCAAAGCTGGGTACGTGGAGAGCCACGGTCAAGGTGATGTTAACAATGAGCCAGCATCTGTTGACAGGATGATGGCCAGGTGTTGGAATGCTCCTTCTGAGAGTAACGGACACAGAGAGGCTGTGCAGTGTTCAGAGTTCTCCAGAAACCAAGGACAAGAGGATACGGGCTTTGTAAGAGAATCGGCTCACGTGATCTCAGAGGCTGAGAAATCCCAGCACCACTGTGTGCCAACTGGAAGACAAGAAGTTGGTAGTGTGGCTTGGTACAGGATCAGGGGTGTCAGAACTGGGAAGCCTATGATTTAACTTCCAGCCCAGGCCCCCAGGTGCCATTGGTACAAGTCCTAAAGGCCAAGAATTTGGAGCTCTGATGTCCATGGGCAGGAGAAGGGTCTCCTGCTGGGGGTGGGGGTGGAAAGGAGAAAGGGAGACAAGAGAGAAAGAGCCCACACAACCCCTTAACAACCCCTTACTTCCTCCTTCCCACTCCCCCGCCTCAGTCCAGGACCCCAGCTGATTGGATGCTGCCCACATGAGGGCAGGACTTCCCTACTCAATCCATATGCCAATAGCCCCTGGAACCATTCTCACAGACTTATCCAGAAATGGTGCCTCAGCAGCCATGTAGGCATCCCTCAGTCCAGCCAGGTGATGCGCAAGTTAACCATCGCAGTAGGCATGACCTTTGCAACACGGGGATCCCATTCCCATAGACTGTATCTGTTTAAAGTGCGTGATGCTGGGTGCACGTTCCTTGGAAGTGACCTGCTGTCATGTGGGGTCCTGTTTCCCCAGGATGGATGACATCCAGCTGTGCAAGGACATCATGGATTTGAAGCAGGAGCTGCAGAACTTGGTTGCCATCCCAGGTAAGCATGTGCGACTTTACCTCGTGTTAGCAGCTGCTGGGTGGTGGGTGGGGTGGGGGACACAGGTACACTGTCTGTACTCCTGGGGTCTGGAAGACAGTTAATTTCTTCTACTAAGGCAGCCTTATTCTTGCAATGCAGGGCTCCCTGACCACACAGTTCTAGTGCGGGTTCAAGTCAGTCAGGCCCAGCTGGGGTCAAGTTCTAATTCCAGATGTCTTTTTGATCCTGGGCAAGTCATTTTATTTCTCTGAGATTCAATTTCTCTTTCTCTGAAAATAGAATAGGAATAGTACCTAACTCATCAAGTGTAAATACCACAAAGTTCAGTGGTCAAGGGCTTTCCGAGCATGCACACGGCCTTGGGTTCAAGCTGAGCACCGTAAAGAAAAAAACAGCTGCATGAGTGTCAGTAAATATCACTGTGGTAAAAGTACTTTGCAAGCCAAGTGCTTAGCTTGGTGTTTGGCAGTTGTTACCATATTATCCTGTTTTGGGAGCAGGGATGGTATAGCAGTTATGAGTTCTAACTTTGGAACCAAGCCTAGATTTGCCAGGTCTTAATGACATTCCTTATTTGGCCCTTTCTACTTGGAAAGCCTCCCCTGACCAAACAGTATGGGTTGAGTGCCCTCCATGGGCGTCCCCTTGTTACCGGGGTCTGGGGGGTCCCCTCAGGTTCTTGTCTGGTGTCACAATTAAAAAACTGATCCAAAAGACAAGGAAGACAGGGCACAGCAGCAAAGTATTGAAAGCAGAAAGTGAGAGGAACATCATCAAGAGAAGTGACGGGCTCCAGACGCACAGCTCAAAAGCAGTTGTCTGGGGTCTCTGGCTTTTATGTGGCTCAGATCAGGCTGGTGGGAGAAACCTGGGCGTTTCTGCAGGTGGGGTTAGGATGATTGGCAGACTTGATTGACAGTCAGATGTTACATCACTGATTTCTGACTGTGCAAGCTCCTTCATATAATTCAGTCTGTTATAATTGTATGCGTGAGATGCAAGCAATATTCATGAAGCCTTAAGTAGGAAAAACACCTAAAAGATTCCTACAGGTGACAGGTGGGCTACACTGCACATGCCTTCAGAACTGGTTGGCACCGGTTATTGCCCCTTCCCCTTGCAAGAACTGAAGCGATAACCATGAAAGGGGTGTTTCTAGGTGGTCCGGGGGAGGTTGGATTTTACCTCCCTTCCAGTCTCCACAGTAATCCTGCATGCCCACAATCTCTACATCACCCTGACCAAAGCCCTTCTCAGCTGACTGCCTGTAGACTCAGCCATGTCTCTCCCTAGACTTTGTGTCCTTAAAGGGACACTGGAAGGCTGGAAGGTGCTAAGGGAAGTGCTGATGAATGAGTAAGCACAGCTGTATCTCAAGAACCTTGGCTTTGCCAATGAGCAACACAGGTCAGATAAGAACCCACCATCACCTGTCACTTGACTGTGATTGCCCTTCTATCAGACTTTTGTTTCATACTGAGACAGTCTCCTGTGTAGCCCAGGTTGGCCTGGAATGCTCCATCCTCCTGTCTCAGCCTCCCGAGTGCTGGGATTACAGGTGTGCACCACACCTGGCTATCAGTTTGTTAATTCCATCCCAAGAGGCTACGTTATGCAAGATGCTGAGCCCCATGCCTGGCCTGTACCCAGTTGTGACAATTAAAAATGTCTTCACTGTTACCAAATGTCCCTGAAGGAGGGACCAATATTGTCCCTGTCGAAGAACTCCTACTTTGGGGCTCCAGTGATGTGAGTTTGAATTCAGGTTTACCAGCTAAATGACCCCATGAAGTTTTGTTTCTCAGTCTTATGTTCCTTACTTGTAGGATGTTTGTGTGGTTGTTGTGAACATCACATGACATGACAGTGTGTGGGAGTGCTTAAAGCAGTCTTGTCAGCTGGGCCTGGTGGCTCATGCCTGTAATCCTAGCCACTTTGGAGGCTGAGATTGGGAGGACTGTGGTTCCAGGCCAGTCCAGATGGGCAAAAAGTGTGTGAGACCCCATCTCAATGGAAAGAGCTGGGTGTGTTGGCACACATGTATCATCCCACTGACAGTGAGAAGCATAAAATAGGAGGACCAGGGTCCAGGCTGACCTGAGGAAAAAGAGAGACCCTATCTGCAAAATAACCAGAGCATAAAGGGCTGGAGTTGTGACTCAAGTGGTAGAGCTCCTACCTAGCAAGCGTGAAGCCCTGAGTTCAAACCCCAGATACACCCCACCTCACCCCCCAAAAAAAAAGCCATCCTGTAGTGAGGTCAGTGTGGGCCAGGTAACAGGATGAGGTACTGTTGATTTAAAGAGTATTACCAGGTACCAGGTGCTGCACAGGCCCTCAGACTAAATGAGTGAATGAACCATCCTCATTGAAAGGGACTGGCAGCTCGTGGGAGCAGGGTTTCTTTTTGGGGGGGATTCAAATGTTCTAAAATGAATTGTGGTGATGGTCGCACACCCCAGCAAGTACACCTGGAACAGGTGAGTTGCATACTGTATGAATTGTATCTTGATAAAGTTACCAAAAAAGTTTAATGTTAGACACAAAACAATAAACGAATGGGGAAAAGTACTAAGGTCCACCACCCACTAGGAACTCCGGATCAGCTGGGTTAGGCATGGGACTCAGGCACTAGCCATTTTTTAAAGTGTCCCACAGGATCGTGATGGACAGCCAGGCCCGTCCACTCTCTCATTTTATAGCCCTGCTGGGCAGAGTTTTGTTAAAAAGTACAGAAACCTGTCCAAGCTGGGATAAGCACAAAATAGGCTTGGACATTACTGGAAAGACAGGGAAGTCTCCTGGAGCTCTCAGGCACCATATTTATTTGCTGTAGCTCCCCTAAAAACTTACCACTAATTTAGTGCTTAAAACGACCAGAAATAAAGTATCCTCTCAGCTCTGGAGGTCACAAGTCCAAAACCAAGGTGTTGGCAGGCCCGTGCCCTCTCCACAACTCTAGGGGAGAATCCTTCCTGCCTCATCCAACCTTCTGGCAGTGTCCATCAGTCCTTGACATTGCTTGATCTGACTGTATCACTCAGTCTCTATCTTCTTCTTCACATGACCTTATTCCCTTTACCTGGGTGTATTACCAGTCATTGAGTTGGGAGTCCACTCTAATGAGCACAGCTTTGTTTTGTTTTTTTTTTTCCAGTGCTAGGGATTGAACCCAGAACCTCGTACATACTAAGCAATCACTCTTCTACTGAGCTACATCTCCAGCCCATGAGTATAACTTACTTTTAGCTTTACAAGTAATTTCTAAATTACTTAGGCTTCTTCCGAATAGTGTAGACATGAATTTTGGGGAGGAGATAGTATTTCCAGTTGTAATAGAAATTGGGGCTTGGGGAAATAGTCAATCCACTAGAAGCATGAACTCAGTCCACCCATACTAGAGCCTGAAGCAGAGAGGAAGTCAGTGGGATCCTCTTTGCCCCTCCCTACCTCCATTTTGGGTGAGCGTTCTACTTTCCCCTCTAGCACACAGGCCAAGTAAGGCCACTCTGTATCCCTTCAGTGAGTTTCCTATACTATTGCCTAAGTTTCAGGTTCTCTCATTCCCAATTTTCACTTTTCCAGAGACACTGATGGATCCGGCACTGTTCACTGTGTCCCTGTTAGGAGGAAAATGCTCAGGGTCCATTGTTAGCTCAGAAAGCCACAGGAGAGTCAACCCAGGCAAAGGAAACCTGAAGGTGCAGCCTCTGAACCTGCCAGGGCAACTGCAGGCCATGGGGACTCCACTCACGCCATGGTGGCCTCCAGAGCATGCATGGAAATAGGTGGTCTTTGGCTGACACATTGACAGGGGTGTACAGTTGGCTAGGGTCAGGTCTAGGATGAGGAGAACAAGATCCCTTAACAGGAGCACCCCTCCATTCAGTAATCAGGATAAAACATTGTAATGCAATATAAAAAAATAAAGACATGCCAAAAATCTGCTATGAAGAAAATGCTGTACCTGTTGTGTGGTAAAGTGCTTGCCTAGCAAGCTTGAGGCCCTGTACCACAGAAAAAGAGAGAAAATACCAAAAGCGTAAATAAAGGCAGGTTCAATACTGATGTTCCACATGCAGAGGCCAGGGATGCTACAACGTACAGCCCAAGTACCAAGTCCAACCAACATGTCATTGACTTACCCACAGAGAACACAATTCCAACCAGGTCTGGGGCTAGTTAGCAACAGAGCCCAGGTGCCTAACACCAGTCCCATTGATTCCCGTGAAAACTGCTTCTTCCCATCACTTTGCTGCAGGATTCAGATACTGATGTTTAGGAAGACATCCTCTCCTCTCCTCTTCTGCCTTTCTAAGCCCCTATCTCTACCTCCTCTGTCCTCACTGGATATCTTTCTCTGTATTCCCTGGACCAGAGCCAGGTGTCTAGATGGACAGAGCTGAGATCAGGGGAAGAAAAACCAATGTTTCTGGCAACACATCAGTGATAAAAGTATTAAGAAACGTGAACAGTCAAAAACAAATTTATGTTTCTTAAGCCAGGGTCAGAAAATAATTCACCAGTGTCTTGATGGTAGGTGGCAGCCTGTGATTGGAGAACAGCGGCACCTTTCCTGACTGGAGAGTGTCTGAAGGACAAGCCAGATGGCTCACACCACCTCCATGGTCCCCACTACGTCCTGAGAGCTAGGGATGCTTAGGCATGGCTGTGGAGGTCATGGTGTATTTCCTTTGGATGTAAAACAGTGTTGTTCTCATGGGATATTGGGAAGGATTAAACCAATGGCTCTCGTCTGGGGCTGATTTTGTTTTCCAGGGGACAGCTGGCAATGTCTAGAGACATTTTTCATTGTCATAACTTTGAGGGGGGCTTCATTTGGAAAGAAAGGCTATGTCACACAGCAGGCAGGGAACATTGGCCAGTGACTGGGAGACTTGGTCAGGAACTGGTTTGTAAGCTAGCATAGTGAGCTGAGAGAGGTGGATTCTCCCATGAGTGGCTGGGGTTGCTGACAATCAGGGTGAGGCTGGAGAGTGCCTGCATCGGTGGGACTAGAAAATGTGGGTGAGCAAATGGTGACCGAGGTTTGTCAAATGCTCAGGGCCCTACAAGTTGCTGAATGACTCTGGGAAGCTGTGAGGGACACTTGGGAATATCAGAGTGCTGGCAATGGTTACTTGGAGAAAAAAGCCACACCGCAGACTCCCCGAGAGAGCTGAAGTGTGCAGGATGCTCTGGCAAGTCTGTGGGGACTGGAGCTCACTTGGAGAGGGCATGGGAGGGCTCTGTGGTACTGATGAGTGATTTGGGGGATCAGACCCATGCAACTCACAATGGCAGGAGTGTTGACACCTGCATCCAACACATTTCTGAGTGCTCTCCAAGTTCAAGGCTAAGCCATTTCCTAAGACGAATGCATTTTAAGCTTCACTTTGTGTATAATAGTGAGGAAGCTGCTGCTTGATGAGGTCAAGTTGCTTCTTCAAGTTCACCCAGTGAGTGAAATGGTGGAGCAGGGATTCCAAGCCCAGCCCCTCAAATTCAACTGCTTCTAAGTTCTAAAAAGCACTCAAGCACTGTTGTAGACAGGGGCTTACTAAGTTGAGCACAAGCTAATCTCGATCTCAGTGTCTTTCTGCTTCAGCCTCCCACATGTTGGATTACAGATGTGCACCTGGCTCTCAACTGTCTCTTTATTTTCTTCTTCTAAGAAAAAGAAAAAACCAAGCTACAGAAGCAGAGAGAAGATGAGCTCATCCAGAAAATCCACAAACTGGTGCAAAAGAGAGACTTCCTGGTGGATGACGCAGAGGTGGAGCGGTTAAGGTGAGAGGACCACCAGACTCCAACCTTCCACTCCTTCCCCTCCCCCCAAACCCATCACCTGCTCCTGGGACCCTCAGCCTTGCCTAACGGGCATCTGCCATCGCTCTGCAGACGCTGAACTCAAATCAATTCCAGACTCCTGATCTGAGAATCCATTTCATACTCAAAATAAACTCCAAGCCATCCTGAAAAAGTCTTGCAAAGGCCTGCACGTCTAGCTGAATGTCACCCAGGGAAGTTCCCAGTGGGAATTATACCTCAGAACGCTTGGAAGAACATTCTATACATCCTTCCATTGCACCAAGGCAACTTTGCAAAATCTTTCCTGTAGTCTGTACAAAACTCCACATGCTGTGTTGACTTGCTTACCTCCTTTCCTTTCCCTTCATTTTAGTGGCCACAATGTCTTTTCCTACCTATTTGCATCTGTCACCTTGACCCAAACCACCAGTTCCAGGAGCCATGGTACAGCTGGAGGCTTCAGAGGAGGCTGAACCTGGGGACAGCCTTGAATGTTGATTCTTGAATATTTTTGTTCCAGGACAAAGCCTTTGGAGTCACTCTCCTTGCAGAGAGTAACTTCCTCTTTGTCCTTTGTGAACTCTAAGTTCCTTCTCAAAAATTCTGAGCTGGGCCCAGTTACTTTATTCCTGGTAACTATGAAGAGCTGAGATGATTTGCTCTCTGAGACCTGCCACACACCTTGTAGGAGCACAGGTGATGGGTGGCTTGAAGGTATAGGGTTAGGGGAGGTGTTGAGATCTCATTCTAGCTCTGGGTCAGCATTTACCCATTTTTGATATGTGTCTCAGCTTCAGAACAGGTTTATCAAACACAACATTGTATTCCATACACATAATAGCACACAACGATATATATGCACCATTCACGAACCCCTCAACCTGGTCCTACATACTTAGCCTCTTGCTTTGTCTCTCTGATTCTTTTCCTTACTTACTGTTCTTTCCTCTTCTCTTTTACACATCTGTCTTCCCAGGGAGCAAGAAGAAGACAAGGAAATGGCTGATTTTCTGAGAATCAAGTTAAAACCTCTAGACAAAGTAACCAAATCTCCAGCCAGTGAGTGCACTATTCTTCCTCCTCCTCCTCCATGAAAGAGAAAAGGAGATTTCAAAGAGGTCTGGGACCAGAGGGACCACAGGGACATGCTTTCTAGAGATCAGACTTGAGCCTGGGTTAACAGCAGGCAGGGCCACGTTCATGAGCCTGCAGCTTGTGCAGTCCCCAGAGCCCATGCCTAGAAGGACTCTCTCCTTAGTTTAATATTCTGCTACTGCTGTCTTGAAATTCTTCCTAATTTTGGAACAAGGGACCCTGCATTTTCGTTTTGCTCTGAACTCCAAAATCTATGTAGCTAGTCCTGGCAACAGCTGTCCCTCCCTAATCACAGGGTTTGGTATGTTTCATAAAAAGAACTGGGTGACTTACTGAGGCTCAGGGAACTGTGACCTGTATTAAGGCTGGAATTTGCAAGAGCCATAAACACACAGAGACACTCATTTGTGTGAAATGAGTTTGGGAAATGCTGCATACTCCACCCTCTTTTTGGAGGCCCTAGTATCTACTAGGATATCAAAGTAACAATGGAGATGAGAAGCTGTTTTCTTCTTATTGACTCAGTTTTCTTAAGTGTGTCTAACTGTGCTAGAGAAGCTTCTTTTAATTATGCAAAAGGGATGTCAAATTTAATATGGTCTAAGCAAAAAAGGGGATTTGTTGGAAGAAGAACTATAAGAACTCAGGCCTCAGAGACTGAACATTGTTGGATTACCCTCACTTTCCTCCCAGTTCTGTCTCTCTATTTGCATGTTAGCTTCATTTCTCCCAACCACATAGGCCTTTTCCATGGGACAAACTCCTGGAACCACAGTTTGGCAGTCCCAAGACAATTCTAGATTCGTTCTCCTGGTATCGAAGTACATAATTCTCAGAGAAAGATTCTAACTGGCCCTACTGGGACCATGTTCCTACCTCTTAGGCCCATCACTGCCACCAAGAGGCTGGGGTGTTGTGATTGGCCAAGTCTGTATCACATGTCCTTTCCTGCAGCCTCAGGAACATGAGCTATTACCAAAGCAAGACAGGTGGAAATCTTTCTGGGAAGCCCAAAAGCTGCCACTATCCATACAACCCCAAATCCAGTTCCGTGTGCTTCGCAGTAACATCCCATAAACACACAGTTACAGAGTGTGAGGAGTAAAGAAGGAAAAGAACTCCCTAGTATTGGTTCCTAAAACCACAAGGCACATGACCCCTACCTAAAGCCAGCATTCTCAATGGATTGCCTCTTCCATGAAAGACAGAATAAAAATATTTTACCTAATAGCATAGAGAAGGAGCAAAGAAATGTGTCTTCTGTGTAGGATTATGCATAAAATAATGATTTTGGCAAGAAATCAAAACATCAGGTCTACACCCCAAGCAAGGGGCCAAATATGGAACCTAAATTTATACTCTGCATCTGGTGCTATAAACCCAAGTTGAAAAATAAATTCGAGTCTCAAACCAGTGAAATCTCTGGGACTCTGGCAAGAGCAAATGCAAGACCTGCTCAGGAGGGACCATTCTCCATCAGACTGATTTTGTACACAGCCTTCCACAGATAGAACAACCCCAATGAAGATGAATTCACAATAAAAATTAAAAACCCTGACGAATTGAACCACCATGAGGGGACTCTAGATATAATGAAGAGAATGACTGTATAAGCACCAGACATGACAGAACAATTTTACAGAGACAAGAAACTAAGTATATTAAAATTATTAAAGAAATAAGAAACCCAAAAATGAAATAGTAGGATGGTATTAAAAAAAAAGTAAGGAGACTTGCAAAAAGTTAGCCTTGTGAAAATATTGTCTCCGAAGTAAAAACTCACAGATTAAAGACAGAGACACAGCTAAAGGCATGTTTTGTGAAATAGAAGGCAGACCTGAGGAAATTCACCCAGAATGTAGCACAAACAAACAGTGGAAAATAGGAGAGGTTATGCAATGGGGGTGGAGGTAGGGATAGAATGAGAAGGTCCATCTTATACTTAATAGGCATGGTGGAGGGACAGAAAAGAGATAATGAGAGGTGGAGAGTTCTAGAAAGATAATGTATGTGTATTTTCCGGAAATGAAAGGTATGAACCCTCAGGTTGTGGACAAAATTTCCCATTCATTCACTCACCAAGTACTTCCTGAATACCAGGCCCCATGCTGGGCTTGGAAGGTACAGTGATGAGGAGAGCTGACCAGGAGAAGGGCTAAAAGCTATGGGTGGAAGCTGAGAACTGAAAGCCAGTGGGCCCACAGGGAAGTGGGAGCAGCCACTGGACCACATACAGTGCACACTAGCTCTCCACACCACCTGAATAAGGCCTGACTAGGGTTTGAGGGGAGGAGGGGCTGGGCTGCCAATGGTCTCACCTCTCCCTCTCTCCCTGTGCTCCTTCCATGCTGCAGGCTCCCGGGCAGAGAAGAAAGCAGAGCCCCCACCTAGCAAGCCTACAGTGGCCAAGACAGGGCTGGCACTCATCAAAGACTGCTGTGGGACCACCCAGTGCAATATCATGTAGCCCTCCAGGGAATGTGGGGACCCCTCCCTCACACTCTTGTCATCATAGCCCCCATTTCACCGGGGCTCAAGAACTCTCCAAGGCCGAAGGGGTTGAAGGCAAGCCCATGTCTGCTGCCAGGGGCCATGGGCGTGGCAGGCGGGCCCAGCCACCCTGTACAGAGTGTAGCATTAGGGACTCCCTCACTGTCGTACGGCCCTCCCCAGAGCATGCCCAACCCAGGAGTCTGTCTCACCATTTGTCCAGCCACCAGGAAAGATCCTCCCTCAAAACAGTGTATCTCCACCTCTATCTAGCTGTATCTAACCCACCATGTGAATGAACTGGGCAAGAAGGGCATGATTCCCCGGATGTGTGTCCAGTTGTGACTTTCAACAGTCTAGCACCACACTGGACACATTCCCCATCCGCTCTCCTAGCCCTCCAGGGCACAGTCCCTCCACGTAGCCCTCACACCTCTTAGGCGCCATCAGTATTGCATTCTTGGAGACCCACGGCCTGTCCCGTCTGTAAAGACTGAGCTTGTGTGTGGTGCTGTGGTCACATCTCCTGCTTCCTCCTGTCTTGTGTCTGGGCACAGTTCACATCAGGAGGGTGTCTACTGCACTCCTGGCTCTTCCTTTGCTTGTCTTATCTGGACCCACAGGTGTGGAGTGGAGTGGGGGCTGGAGGCATGGACAAGAGCAGATCTAGTGCTTGGATGAGGTAGCAGAGATCTGGAGGCTCCAATGCCAAGGCCAGGGCAGAGAAGACCCAGAGCAGACCCCAATCCACATATACTTCGCCCACTGGGGCCACTACAGGGAGTACCAGTGGGACACCATCCCACTAGCCCAACATACAGAGCCAGGCAGGAGAGACAGCCTGACCCAAGTGTCCCATCATTTGGTGGTGTATCTGAACCAGCCTAACAATCCCACCTGTGTAACTTGTACATTCGCTACAGCCAGCCCGGCACAGCCTGTGTGACCTCTCTGTACGTGTGTGTGTGTGTGTCGTGACCGGCCTAAGTAGTTAGCCTAACTCAAGACTTGCTGATGTGCAATCATCCATCAGAGAAAATAAAAATGGAAACCACGTGCACAGCATTTTTAAAGTTTTTACTTTTTTCTTGATTATGAAAGTAATTCATGTACATAGTAAAACCATTTTAAGAGGACAGAAAGTATAAAGAAGTCTTTTTTAAACACCCGTAACTCCTCCATCTAGTGACTTGTGACATTTTGGGATATTTCCTTGCAGTTTTTTTTTAATGTATTTTTTTATGATTGTTATCATATTGTACCATTTTCTGTTTTCACTTATCATGGCATCACTATGGTTCCTCGTGTCATTCGAAGTCTTTTGTAAACATTAAACTCTTCATAAATATTTAGAATGCCATTTCATAGATATGCCCATCACCCCAACATTCCTCACTTTTGGATATTTAAATTATTTCTAGTTTTTTCATATTATAAATAATGTTTTATGATAAATGTCCCAAGGAGATAAACCTTCTGAATTTCTGACTTTTCTCCTTAAGATAAACTCTGAGAAGTAACACTCTTGGGCCATAATAATTTTTCTTTTTGGTGCTACTGGGGCTTGAACTCAGAGCCTTCACCTTGAGCCACTCCACCAGCCCTTTTGTCTCTTGGGTATTTTTTGAGATAGGGTCTTGTGAACTATTTGCCCGGGCTGGCTGTGAACCACAATCCTCCTGATCTCCACCTCCTGAGTAGCTGGGATTACAGGTGTGAGCCACCAGCACCTGGCTAATGAGTAACATTTTCAAGATATTTGTAAATCCATAGGTCTCTTCAGTCAGAGCAGCTCTGGAGTTGACCCAAGTTGTCTGACTGTGGATTCCCAGTCTTTGTGCTGAGGGCAGATCTCTGGCCTTGGCCTTGTACCCTGTCTCAGACATGTTTCTGCTTCAGTCTGTGCTTCCCCGCCATGCCATTTCCTGCCCCTCTGATGCTGAAGAGACTCGCTGGCCTCAGGGGGTCCCATGTCCACCTTCAGTGCATTGGACTGTTCATGAAGCCAGGCTTTATGAGCAGCTCTGGAGTTGACCCGAGTTGTCTGACTGTGGGTTCCCAGTCTTTGTGCTGAGGGCGGATCTCTGGCCTTGGCCTTGTACCCTGTCTCAGGTGTGTTTCTGCTTCAGTCTGTGCTTCCCCCCACACGCCATTTCCTGCCCCTCTGATGCTGAAGAGACTTGCTGGCCTCAGGGGGTCCCATGTCCACCTTCAGTGCATTGGACTGTTCATGAAGCCAGGCTTTATGAGTGTCCTAGACTGCCATAACAAATTCTCTCTCAACTGGGTAGCTGAACCCTGCAGTAGCCCAATCCCCTCATAGCTCTGGAGTCTAAGAGTCTGAAATCGAGGTGTCTGCAGGGCTATACTCCTCCCAAGGTGGTAGGGAAGAATCCTTCCTTGTTTCTTCCAGCTCCTGGTGGCTCCTGGCAATCCTTGACCTTCCTGGCTCATGGCTCCAATCTCTGCCTCCAACTTCACACGCCTTTTGCTTTGGATGTGTGTCTGTGCATCCTCTCCCCAAAAGGACACCAGTCATTGGATTTAAGACCTACTCTAATCCAGTGTAACTTCATCTTGATCCTTAACTTACCTTAATTACTTCTGCAAAGATCTTTCTTGTAATAAAGTCACATTCAAAGGATTCAGGCAGACATGAATTTTGTGGGAAAAACTATTTAACCCCCTACAGACCCTTCTCTCTCTAACTCACTATGAACACAGGCTGCAAAGGGCCACCACTCTCCATTCCCTATGGAAACCATGGGTCAGGGGAGCCCAACCTGGGACCAATCACAGACAGAGCATCCACTCACTGATCCAACAGACCGAGGAAATTGAACCTCATAAAAAACTTGCCTGTTCCACTAACCCCCAGGTAGACCTACCTTATATTCCTGCTGCTCCACTGATGTTTTTAAACAGAAATGTTTGTTTAGGTCTTCTCAGAAGACCTGAATAGTTCAAGATGCTCCCAGATGATCAGGGCTGCCTGTGAAGCTGGGTTGGGGGGCGTGCTCTAAACACCTAGACCTGCTCCTTTTGGAAGGCCCTAGGGAGGAATTGTTTATTGCACTGAGTGAAGTTCACACATCAGCCCAACAAGGCAGATCCTATTATTATTTCCACTTTACGGGTGAGGATATGGCAGCAAACCTGTGGGTAGTCATCATTCATCCCTCTGTCTCTCTCAGAGCCCTCATAGTCCTTTCTCTTCCCATTGCATTTAGACACCTCTCCCACTTAAAACAACAGACCTTCCTCCACCCCATTTCCCTCTGCAACTCCCATCTCTCTCTGCATCTCCACAGCCTTACTGCTTTAGAGGTGGTCTTAGCCTTACTGTCTTCATCTCCCTAATCTCCAGATGCCTCCTGAATCTATTATTAAGTAGTAGTATTATTTGTGGTGCTGAGGATTGATCTCAGGGCTTTGCACTTGCTACACAAGTGCTCCCCAGCCATTATGCTTTTAGTTTGTTTTTTTTTGATAGGGACTCCTACTTTTGCCTGGGCCAGCCTCAGACTGAGATTCTCCTATCTCTGCCTCATTAGAAGCTGGGATTACAAGTGTCAACCACCAAACACTTCTGTTCTCCAGATCTTTAAGACAAAATTGGTCAACTCCTGTCCTAAACTGTGCTGAACTCTCTCTGTTGGGTTTTTCATCTCAGCTGCCTAAGGATATCTGTCCTGGTAACTTGTCCTTGCCTTCTCTTCAACTAGTGTTCAATTGCCAAATCTTCAGAGCCTACTTCCATGGATTCTGTAGAATCTGATCTTTTCCAGGGTCACCACCATCTTTTGCTTGGTCAACTGCAATAGCTTCTCACTGGCTTCTTTGGCCCTAATCCCTTAAATTCCTCCTCCACATAGCAGCTCGTGGATCCTCTGAATAATGAAACCTCATTGTCACTCTTGTCTTTAAAACCATTCCCCAACATTGAGATGAAATCCGTGCTCTTTCCTTCGTTTGATTTACCTCCTGCTCTGATCTGGTCTGTGTACACCCTCAGCCTTGTCTTGCACCCTCTGTGGCATACTTCTTTTTTTGAGGTGGGGGAGGGTTGAGACAGGGTCTCACTATGTAGCCCAGGTTGTCCTCAAACTCTCGACTCTCCTGCCCCAGCCTCCCAAATACTGGGATTACAGGCCTGCACCACCATACCCAGTTTCCTGCATCCCTCTTGATGCTGAGGCCACAGACTCTTCTTTGAGTTCCTTGGCTCTTTTTTGTCATACTCTGTTGGATGTCTCCTTTCCTGGATTTTCACACATCATTTCCTCTGCCAAGAACTTCTCAGATTCCCTGCCACCCCTTCTTCCTGTAGTGCTCTCTCTAAACTACCTGTGTGCCACTCTGAAGCCAAAATGACTTTCCTACGCAAACAAGAATAATCACTGTCCCCTTTCCCTCCTCCTGGGCCTTCCCACTGGCCTAGCAGGCAAAGTCTGGTGTCTTGGACCACATTTCCTAGCTTGGGGTGACCCAGCCCGACTCTCCCACCTCCACCTTTCTCCACCACCTCCAGCTTCACAACTTTGCTGCAGCTTCACAACTTTGCTGCAGCAACTTCTGAGGGAACAAAGTGAGGAGAAGCCAAGGAAGACGAAAACAGCATGCTCAGGTGACATCAAGGAGGGTGCACTCCACAGCATCCAGCTTTTCCCTGGGGCCTGCTGCCCTGAAGGACTTTGCCATAGGATGTGGTGGGTGTGAGCACTTTTAGCAAAGCACTGGAAGGAAAGCCAGATGCAGCAGCCAGGGGAAGTTCTCTCTCACCCACTGTCCCTGTGGGAGACAGGGAAACTGAGGCTCTGAGAGGGGAAGCGTTTGTTCAAAGTCATGCAGCACGTAAGTGGTAGAGCCAGGTCCAGGGACCAGAAGCTTTGGGTTGCCTGTGCAAGTTTGCCAGGTATGGTGCTTGGTGTACACATGTAATCCTAGCAGGTGCATCACTGTTCTCGGTCCCTGCAGGTGCTGACAGATCAGAGGTCACTCACAGCCACCCAGCAGCACCAAGCCTCTTTGGATCCTCTTAAAGAGCCTCTGAGCTCTGCAGAGCTGGATGGCTCTGAACTGTGGGGTGCAACTCTTCATCTGTAGCTTGAAAAGCTGCAGTTCCATTGTGTACAAGTGAGGCCACCAGCCAGGACTCAGGCCCACCACCAGGGGGCAGTGGGACAGGCGCCATGGGCTGAGGCAGAACACTGAGCACAGGTGACTTGAGGACAAATGTCAGGTCACGCATTTGGGGATGTGTCAGTGGATTCCACTAGTTAATGTAGTCCATGGCAGATGCCTTACATCCTAGTGAGGGAGATGGAGGTCAATGAGGAAGGCAGGGCTAGCCTTAGGGACACAATCTGGCTGGAGACTGAGGGCTTCGGTATGGAGCCAGATTGCTAGGGTTAAAGTCCCAGCTGGAGCCCTCCCTGTGAGCCTGGCCACTATCCTTACCTCTGCACTTCAGTGTCCAGGTCCGGAAAAACAGGAGAAGGGGGTAACAAGAGAGACAACAGGAAGAGCTTAGAGCCAGGCACATGGTAAAGTCGGTAACTGCTGGGGAGCCTGAGAGCAGGAAGAACAAGAAGGGCTGAGACTGAATGGGTCAGTCAGTTCCAGGCCCTCCCCTCTAGACACTGGCACAGAACAGACACTGCAGGGAACCATGGAAGATGTGACCCAAATGTCAGCTGAAGTCCCAGTCCAAGTGCTTCCTGCACCATGCCAGGACTTCTGGTCCCATGGTGACATTTGACCCTCATTGTCTGCTTCCATGTAACTCCACATCCCTCACCATTCCCTTCCCACAGATGACTCCTCCTCCTTTCATCTCTGCAGTCTGGGTCTTTGCCTGATTCTACCCAGCAAGCTCAGCAGACAAGGGAGGGTGCACAGGTTTATTTCTCTACTGATAAAGGAATGTGGCTCATTGCTCTTCCTCCCATGGGCAATATGGCTCTTAGGGTTTGAGATGTTAAAGAACTTGTTTTCCCAAATCCTGTCATGGGAATGGTAGGCAGAAGCTGTGGAATTGTGGAAGGGGATCTGAGTCTGGGGTCAGGGAAGCTTCACTGAGAAAGGACTCATCTTAGCAATGAGGTGCTGCAGGTACAGGATTTGGGGCAGCACAGGGACAACCATGCCATCTCCTTAGCCCACTCTAAGGGGGCATGGTGGCATTTCAACTTTGCCTGCAAAACTTTGCTGCTGTGAAAGATGTTTTGAAAGCATTTGCCGAAGGTCTTTAGGAACTTGTAATCTCAAACTTTTTTTTTTTAAATTATACTTCGATGGGGGTGGTGGCACATGCCTAAAATTCCAGTACTTAGGAAGTAGAGGAAATAGGATTGTAAGTTCAAGGCCAGTTGGGGCTACAGAGCAAGACCCTGTCTCAAAAAAAGAAATGCACCTCACTGGGAAGCAATGGGTCCTTTTATATTTTTGCTGGGGGTGAAGTGGTGGGGAGAGGGAGTATGGGGGTGCTTCCTCACCAAATCTGTGAAGGAGGTCTCTCCCCAACTGGCTTACTGGAAAAATAGCTTGGCAGTGACAGAAAGAAGGCAGACAATGGGAGGGCAAGCCTAGGGACTGTCCCCAACTCCTAGCTGGAAGGCTACGACTTTCCACACACTGACAGGCTTGACAGGCTGTAAGCAGCAGCCCAGCTGCTTGCCTGGGGCAGGTGCCAAGCCAAAAGGGGCTCTGAAATGTCACACCAGCCTACTTACCACTTCACACCTGTGTCTGGGGGAAGAGTTGGGGGACATAAGTGGAGGATGACTGGGCTGATTTATGACCCTGACCTCCCTCCACACCATACACAGATCATGCCACTCACCTTAGATGCTTGCTTGTAAAGTTTATTGACAACTGTTTGGTCCCAACACACAAAACAGCACTTGAACCACAAAAAGAGTGTTCAAACAAAGTAGACGGTTAAGAAAAACATCTCTTCCCCCAAGCCCGATCCAAAATAAACAGTGCAAGATGGGAAAGGGGGTTGGGGTGATAACTTTCATCTTTTTAAACAGATAAGTCAAATCCAGTACAGCTTTCCACCCAGAAATAGTCTTATCGTCCCAATGCACACATCACTGCGTCATCATTTAATTAAGCCTCTGGATAAAAAAATAGACAGCGATGGGACTGGCCACTGGAGCACGTCACCAACACATGCTTCCGCTGCATTCTCACGCTTTCACCAGTGATGGTTAGTCACACTCCGTCCCAGACTGACAACCCCGAAAATGGCACAGACGCACTCATACACTAGATAGTGCAGAACTCACTTGTCTGCGGCCCACAGAGCCTGCTCTTTGAGATGGTTCCGAGTGACTTGTAATGCCGCCTCTTAATGTTTTTAAAGTCCACAATTCTTTCCATGCTAGCAAACCTGAAGTTCAAGTGTGCAAACTCAGCCTTGTCTCAGAGTAAGGCAACTGATGTGCTCAACACCAACACTATTACCCTGTTTAAAAAGCTGCACATGTGCACTTTACTTCCTGTGACACTATGTCTGTAGAGGAAATGCCTTCAGAAGGATTCAAAGAGTGCCATAATACTTGGTAGGATTTCCAGTGTTGTTCCATCTTGACTGGGGCCAGGTGTTGAGAACTGAGAATCACTGGCTTCATTTAAAAGATTTGGGGAACAAAAATTCAGCTTGTAAAAATCTCTCTACAGCCCTTATTTTGTGGCATTTTATCAAAATGCTGGCTACAAAATCAGAGTCCATTTTCTGGCTTTCTAGAAATTACAAAATGCAAACATTTCCCCCAAAGAAACCATCTAACTAGTGGAAGACCTGGTGCCAACAGGTTCTGCTCTGTGAATGGATGTGCCTTTTTTGCCCAACAAATACAATCCATTGTAAATGTCAGGTTTCTCAAGCAGGGGTGAGAGGCCATCCATGAGCAGACACCTCAGGCACCCAGAGAGAGGAAGGCCATTCCACAGGGCAGTGCCCCCAAAGGCTGGCTTTTCCCCAACGTGAACAGACACCACAAAAAACCCAAACATGCTTCCAACAGCGAGAAGTAACAAGAGTAAAAACACACTATTAAAAGATGCTGAGCTAACAGAAGGACACGCGTCTTCACACGTAAAGCTTCCCAGCTTCCAAAACCAGCTTTAAAATGACAGAAACAAGGTTAAGTTGATCAACCTTGGCCTTCACATGTACAGATAGAACTCCCATCTCTTCCTAGTGGAAATAGTATTGATCCTGTTCCTGTTAAAGTACCTCACCACTTAGCTCTGATTTATAATTTATGCATTTGATGCATATTTTAGAAAATCAGACTCTCCAATATTGCCTCTCGACACACAATAACATGTGTCGTAATCCAAATGCTGACTTTAAATTCCTGACACCAAGACCATCTCCTTTTCCTTAACCTAATCCACATCAAACTGGAACTGAACACAGCAGGGAAGCTTAAAACATCCTCAACTTTCTAGAAAGCTCCTAAATGGAACCCCAAAATGGAAACATTTAAAAGAATTTGTGAAGCCACATTTGTCAACTACAGACATAGTTAAATAAAAAGCAAGGCACACTAACAAGTCACATGGAAGCCAGGAACCACTGTACTTCACCCTGAAGACATAGCTCTACCCCTTCTCATCTCCTCCCTCGCGTGAGCTGCATGCTCACGGAACAGGCTTTGCTTCAAAGACGCGTCAGTCACTCACACACTTAGTTAATACTGTTGGGCGCATTGGTGAGCAAAGGGTGAGAGGCCTGTGACACTACGTGGAGGGTGATACGATCGCACTGGCTCAAGGGAAGTAAAACCACTTTCTGTAGCTGAGTGCTCGCTGCTTACTTCTTCCAGAACAACTGGATTTCATCATAGTTAAGAAAAATTTGATAAAATATATTAAGGATTCTTTAACAAATGCCAGAATTCTTTCAAATAATTGAAAAAAGGAAAGAAAGGAAAACTTCAGCTGCAGCTGTGTTCAATGTAAAGGAAACAGAACATGTGGAATACATCTAAAGAAGAAATACGTGGCTTCTGGGGGCTTCATTAAAACAGAAATGGATGGTTTTTGAGCCCATTTTTGTGTGCAGAATCAGACAGTTTCTTTCCCATCCTAACTATGTTCAAAATGGGAGTTAAAGCTTGGTTATAGGTGCAAAGGAAAAGTTGGCTGCCAATTTTACTCTATTTTTGGGTTGCTTTTTGGCTGGGCTTTCCACAGGGTTCTTGCTGAGCAGCGACTCGGGGGCTTCCGAGGAAGGGCCGGGGGGCACTGGGGCAGCTGCTGGGGCGCATGATGAGCTGGGTTCAGAGGGCAGTTTTTCCTTCTTTACTGGTACTGGGATTTCAATGTTTTCTTCTTGGTTTAAAATCATAATTTCTACAAACACAGAAAAGCAAAACACATTCAGTTCGAGGACCCATAAGAAGTGTTTGTTTTCAGTTTTTCCCTTGAATTTGTCAAAAAATATTTTTAGAACCCACAAATGTCACACTTAGGCCACAGTTTACATATCAGCTGGGTGGCCAATATTATGTGTCACAAAAATCAAATATTATAAATTGCATCTCGTGCTTCCCCTAGATTACAAAATTTTAGAGATCTCATTTCTGGCTACTACTCAATGGGCGATTGTTTTGCACTTAGAGTCTGTGTCATCCATTGTCTCTGTCAGGTCATGATGGATTCATAAGCCATACATGAACTTTCTGAGCCAGGAGGGTCCTTAGTGCCAGGAGGCTCCTGGCCATTCTATTCACAGAGGACCTGAAGTCTGCATGGCCCTAACACTAGGAGTGAGGGGACAAATGCACCGAGTCAAAAACCCAGCCAGTTTCCCTGCAATGTTTATAGAGCCACAAGTAAGCCAATGGCGGTGCATACAGAGCCCTAGTGCTTGAGAAAGATTGATCCTTATACCTTAGGGTCCCACTGCATGTGCTAAAGGGCTCCTGCTACCAGAGGCATGTGCGAGGCGGGAGGGACAAAGGGACAGCAGGTTCTAGCTCCTATTCAGAACACAAGAGGACAGAACTGCCCATGTTCTGCAAGCTGCATTTCTCTCTCTCACATGCACATGGCAGAGCTTATGTATACTGAGTGCACAAAAGCCGCAGCCCCTTGGAGACGCAGCTACCAATTCCAGTTGTGTATTCCACAGGAACACAGGTGGGTCCCCTGTGTTCTCAGCAGGCTTTTCTCACATCACAAGGCAGCTGTATGCATCCTTGATCCCTAACCAAGACAGCTCAGGTCTTCACCAGTCACCAGTGCCAAATGTTGCCTAGAAGACTGAAGATGGTGAGAACCAGCCCAGCAGTGACCCCAGCATAGGCAGAGGGGGACTATGAGAATGAAGAGAATGAAGGAGTCCCTACAGAGCAGTGAGGTCTCCTTACAGTAGGTGGGGTGACATCACTAAAAAGACAAGAGGTTTTAGGTCCACTTCCTAGTCAAATGGCCCGAGGCCAGCTGGCTCCAGTTTTGGCACAAGCTATGCTTTAGTCACCCACCCTGCAAAGTAAGAATAATGGCTCCAGTGCAACATGGTTTGAGTTAACACATGATTGTGTCTGTCTGCCCTGAGCACAGGGCTAGCACTGTGAGCAGCCTAAGGCACTTCACACAAGGTTGGCGCAGTGTGACCCTAAGGTATAAGGATCAATCTTTCTCAAGCACTAGATCATAGGGCAGACTCCAGGTCTTCAAACCACACTTTCATAAGCCCTAGTACCCTCTGGGCCCCAAGTATAGGTAACATGTGTAGCAGGTTCAGGTAAGAGTAGCAGCTGAGCCTCTGATAAGATGAAGGGAGGAAGGTGGGGGGCACTGCCCAGTCTCTGGGGGCTCTTCCATAGCCCAGCATCATCACCCTCCAGTCTCCCTGCTTGATGGTCTCCAGCAACCCCAGGCTGGGAGTCCTGTCTGCACACACAGGGAAGGGAGGTCCTGAATAATCAACACAGGTGGTTACCTACTGCAAACAGTCAGGTATTTCCCCACCCCCATCAAACATTTAATATACTGACATAGTTTTACTTTTTAAACCCACAAAGAAAACGCCACCAAACACAGTGTGACCCACCAGCAGGCTCCCGAGGGCGCTCCTCAAACTGAATGAGATCAGCAGGTTGCAGGATGACGGGATCTGGTCTCAGCTGAGGGGATGGCAGGCATGAAGGGACAGGCGCACACAGAAGGTCGACAGGGGAGCTGCTGGCCAGTCGGAGAAGCTCCTGCTCTGTTTGACTAGGCCCTGCAAGAGAAGGCCACCACAGTCTATCCAGGTGAAAATATTGGGTTGGCACCTCAGGTTTTCTAAGCTTTAAAAATGTAGTAAACAGAAGTACTCAAAGTTAAAAAAAAAAAAAAAAAAAAAAAGTCTGTTAGCAGAGAAACCCTTGGTGACTGAGATGTCACAAGTCAGTATCTCCTAAAGATTTGTGTTCTTAGAAACACCAGTCCCTCCAGAGGCCCCAGCTGGGAAAAAGAGCTTTGCAGTCACTTCTGAAGAGGGGAAACATACAAGACCCTGAGGCAGTGCACAAGATGTTAAACAAGCAAGGCTCCAAAGTAGAAGACTGGGATCTTGACACCGTCATTCCTTAGCTGATTCTTCCCGGAACTTCCATTCCTCAGCTGGAAAGAGGGAGCTCCAACAGAGGAAGGTTGTGGTGACAGCGCTTAGCAATGCGGAATGCTATAAACAGAGTTCCTCTCTAAGCATAGGATATAGGAACACTTCAATCTATCAGTGCCCCCTCTCCTGGTACTGGGGATTGAACCCAGGGCCTTGAGCATGCTAGTAAGTACTCTAAAACTTGAGTCACACCCTCAGCCCTTTTGTTTGTATTTTGTTTCTGAGATAGGATCTCGCTAATTTTGCCCTGTCTGGCCTGGAACTCTCAAGTAGCTGGGATTATAGATGTGCACTACATGCCACGCTTCTTATAGAGCTGTATGAGGTTAAGATCCTTATACACAGATAACAATAGATTCGAAGTCACTCAGCAAAGTTTAAAGTGCTGTAAAATTCAAGAGAGTTGATTTCTGTCTGGCACAGAGCTGGCTCCACAAAAGAGCCGGTGTGACCCAATGGCATGTGGACAAACGTGGCTGCACTGCTGTCACGCCTTTCCTCAGAAGTCGCTGACAAAGGCTTCTTGACCCAACTTCAATCAAGCTTCTCTAAGCCTCTTCTTGACCCAGCCATGCCTTTGTCTTCTGTGTCCTGTCTGCTCTGTCTTTGCATGTCCACGTCTAGCAAGAATCCTGCTCAGCCAGCTTAGTAAGGCCCCTGCCCCACCCTGATATCTGATCACCCTTACCACCCAAGCAAGTTCTTCATCCCCAGCCCGATACTAAGTCCCTGGACTGCCTTTAGCAGACTCCCATTAGGTCAGTTCAGCAAGAATCCCCTTCCCCAGCTGTCTCCGTATACTAATTTTCTACCCTCTGAGCCCTCACTCTGCTCCTGGCTCTAAATCTCTCCAGACCCTGTAGAATTCAAGTTGAGCTCTCTCCTCCTCTGCAGTAGTCTTGAATTACCATTACCAAGCTATCAAGTCAGAAAGCTTTAACACCTAAATGAAAACAATATTATCACAAAGGGCATCAACATCCCTTTAAGGATCTCACCCGGCCACACATGCAATGAATGCTATAAAATGCAGGCCAGATTTTTCTGTTATTAATTAAATACCAAAACTGCTTTTTGAAAAGTATGAATATTTAACTTTAAATACTGAAATGACATGCTGTCTTACTTTCCTCCACACACTGCACCCCAAGCCATGTCCCTGGCATTTCACCAGCTTTGTCTTATTGGATGCTTCTCTTGTACCATCACTACCTGTTCCAAGCTGCAGTTTTGGGGCTGGGCATGATGATTCAGGCACCTCCAGGATTCGCTCGCTGTCTGCCAGCTGGTTTTCATGACTGGTGGGGCAGAGACCCAATGAGCTCAGCCGGCCTAGAGGACAAGGAACACCCATCAGGAGATGATGGCGAGAGAACCGCAGCTGTTTCAGGGCAGGGGTCAGGGGCTTACTTACTTTTCATGTCATTTTTTAACACTACAATTCTCTTATGACCATGTCCTTTTATCCAGACCACCTGCACACAAGACATACTACTGGTTAAGCAGTGGAAAAGAAGGGGAAATTGCTCTAGAATTTAGGAGGAGAGGGACCTACTGTGTCTGCGTAATTCAGAGCTTAGAAACCTAATTCACGCTGAAAGCCATTTTTCTATGCTCTTCCCTTAGCTTTTAAAGCAACAGAAAGAAGCTGACAAAAGCATGTCTGTTAGAAAAAGCTGAGCAGTTGAAAAATCATGAGACGCAGCTTGAAAACTCTTCATGATTCCTCAAAAGACCATCTTCCCAACACCAGTTTTAGTGTTTAAATGAAAAAAGTTCTCACAGGAGCGTGCTTATCATTTTTTCTAACAGAATTAACAGTGCTCTCCCAGGTCCTCAGACTGAGCTCCCGATTGCAAGGCTGACACAGAAGCTCCCCTCCTCAGCCAGGGTAGGCCAAGGCAGTCTTCTGCTCCTGGGATCTCCATGTGAACTGTTTGTTGCCTTGTCCCCAAGCTTGGCTCCTAAGCTCCCAAGCTCACTACAGGCTGAGCTTCCATTATCTGAAATGCATGGGCTCAGAAATGTCTCAGATTTTGGAGTATTTGCATAGACACAATGAGGTATTTTGGAAACAGAGCCCAAATCTAAACATGAAACTCATTTGTTTCATACATGCCTTATACACATAGCCTGAAGATTTTTTATCCAACATTTTAAATATACCTGTGTTTTGACTGTGACCCATCACATGAGGTTAGGTGTGGAATTTTCCACTTGTGGTGTCATGCTGGCACTCAAAAATTCTTGGACTTTGAAGTAATTTTTTAGATTAGAGATTCTCCACCTGCATTTTCTCACCCCTGCTCAGCTCCTCTAACTAACACATCCTGGTACTCCAGCAATGGCCAGGACTCTAGGCAGGCTTCCCTCCACTCCTGTTTCCCTCAGCTCTACCGTGGATAGCAGTGACTGCGACACTTTCCTGATGCAAAGCTGGGCTCCTCCTGGCTCTTCACAGTACAGACCAGTGCCTTTCCTGGAGAAGCAAAGGACTCAAAACTGAGCTCCTACTTCCCAGGCAGGATCTAACATGAGTTTTAGTTTTCCACTTTTACTTTTGGTGGTGCTGGGGATCAAATTTAGGGCCCTGTACATGGCAAGTGCTTTAACACTGTGACAGCCCTGGTCCCTCCAGCACAGGTTTAATGCCCTGCCACCTCACACTGCTTCTTGCTGCTCCCCATCTGCTCAGACCATTCTCTCCCTTTCCGTCAGATGGTTACTCATCCACATCCTGACACCTGCATTCCAGGGATCCCCCATGCCTGGGAGTGGGTCCTGCCCATGGCCCTCTTCAGTACATTGAGCACAGTGGTCGAGGTGACCACTGTACTGGCCACATTGACCAAACACCTGCCTAGATGCCCTGCCTGCTCTATTAGCCAGCACATTCCTGGTGGCAGGGTCTGGGACTTACTCACCTGGCACACAGGAATTTAATAAAGGTTTACAGAATCAGTGAGAAACACAAAACTCATTTATCTCACAGAATCAGTGAGAAACACAAAACTCATTTATCTTATGCTAACAGCATGTTTTCAAAGAATTGATTTTCAAAATGCTTGCCAGTTTGTTACTCTGGAAGCCTCAATGTTGTGTTCAAAAGTTAGCCTTTGGCTCTTCAGGAAGATACTCTCCATGAAGCTGAGTAAAATACCCACCTGGGGAATGGCTCCCAAGAGCTCCTCCACACTACTGTAGCCGTATGTCTTGGGCTGCAATGTTTCTCCAACATACTTGGCATAGGCCATGGAGAAGTCATGAAGGAAAATCTGCTGGTAGTGGTAAGTATGAAGCAAAGACCGCACATTCTTTGCAAACAAATACAGACTTGTGAGCTTCACACACTCTTCATTCTTATCATTTGTAAAAACCTGGTTCAAAAGGAACAGCAGGATTAGAAACCTTCTCAGTGACTAGCACTAACTCCTCAGAAGTGAAAACCTGCTGACATTGAAAAAGACCAAATTCAGCAACAGCCTGGAAAGGAGGAGGAAGAAGAGCAGAATGAAGGCTTCACACAAGGATCTCAGTCAAGAGAAGAACACAGCCTAGAACAAACTTTAGTTTATCAGCAGGTCTCAGATTACAGGGGTTGGGAAGAAATCCTGAGTAAGCAGGGAAGGAAACTATGGTCTCAAGCCAAGGAGGCAGTGAAGGGGAAGCAACACTGGTGGAGAACACTGCACATATAATAAGACTGAGGCCATTCAATCTTGTCTCCAAGAAACACTGATGCAGGAAGACACTGGCGTTCTTGAAAAACACGACAGAAGCAAATGAGAAACACAAGCATGCACATACATACACACAGCCTAAATGTCTGCAAGTAAACCAGATTTCAGTATCATAAACCCTTTCAGAGTCTCTAATATGCATTAGAATCTCTAAAAGAAGGAATATTTCCCAACCTTAGCTGGCTATGGAAAATCTTTTGTCTCGAAATATCCATTAACATTATCCAGAACTCATGTTCTCAGAGTGTAACTAAACAGAGTTTAGAAAATATTGGACTTGACATCTTTTACTATCACAGTTATGTGATAATAAAAGTTTATCATTCTTTTCTTACATTGCTGAATCTTATTTGTTAGTATCTTATTTAGTATCTTTTTTAGTATCTTATTTATCATTTTCTTTTAAGGGACTATATTAGGTTTTGGTATCAAAGTTCTTTTAGCTACATAAAAATAAGTGGTGGGCTGGGGTTGTAGATCTATGGTAGAGCATGTGCCTAGCATGTGTGAAGCCCTAAGCTTGATCTCCAGGAAAGCAAAAATGAACAAACAAAAATAAGTGGTAAACTACACCCTTTTTCTTCTAGTGTCCTAGAGTGGTCTTTTAAAAATTGGAGTTAACTGTTCTTTCAGGGTTAATTAAAACTCAATTGTTAACCCTGGTCCTGGTACCTTTTTCCATTATAAAATTTCAATGACCTTTATAACCAATATAAGCAACTGATATAATTTTAACTTTCTTTTGAGTCTATGTTTATTTATTTATGCTTATTTTGGGACTTGAACTCAGGGCCTTGGGCTTGTTAGGTAAGTACTCTACCACTGGAACCATGCCTCCAGCCCAAGTCAATTTTGACCTCATCTATTTGCTCCGGCTTAGACCTCAATCTTCCTGTTTCCTGAGTGCTGGGATTACCCTCAGCAATTATTCTCTTAAAATTCTTCCAACCTTGAAGTGTCACTCTTAAAAAGTTGTCTGGGCAACCAACCAGTAAACCTTCCTTTCTGACCCTTAACCTCCACTGCTAAGTCACTTGAAGCTATCACATATGCCACCTAAATTCAGAAAGGTCCTGGAGCAGGATACCAGGCTTAATCCTAGTTAAGCATCAGGACACCAGGGCTTTCATCTGACTTCCTTATTTCAGCAGGGTTCCTTTACCTCTTCTATACCTCCATGTGTTCATCTGAAAACAACCAGTCAATTTCAAAGATCTCTAAGGTCTCCGTCATCTACACACACAAATCTAGACCAAGGGGTCATCCAGGAATAGCCAGCTTTACAGCTTTCAACGTGATGGTCTAAAGACCCACAAACACACATACCTCCACCAAGTAAGGCAGACTCTTCAGCAGTTCTGACAAGGTCATGAACCCATATTCACAGGGGTTGAGAGGAGTGCTGTGGGTAGTTTCATAATGTCTCTTGAGCTCATCAACAGAAAGATAGGTGGTTCCTTCCCAAGACATCAACAACACCAGCAACTGGGCAGTGAGAGACCGCAGAGACTTTCGGTTGATCAGCTGAATCTGTTTGCCAGATTCCATATCAGCAACCTGGGGAAAATGAGAATCCATACTTTTTAGAACTCAGGAGAGACGACCTAGGTCCTACTCAGCTCAGCTAATTTCACTTTGTCTAATGAGATCAATAGAAGAAATAACTCTAACTTTTCTCTTAAAGTGAAGTAAAGTGAGTGGGTTTGAACTCAGGACCTCATGCTTGCTAGGCAGGTTTCTACCACTTGAGCCATTCTCCTAGCCCTTCTTTATTTCTTCATTCACTCTTTCCATTCTTCCCTATGGTAAGGAGACAGATGGGTCAGCTGACATCCATCAGCTCAAGCTGGTAACTTAAGGGTTGCTATGTTCAAAGGAGGGGTGAGGTAAGGAGGGACAGAAGGCAGAGTCCACTCTGACCACAGGTAAACTGCACTTTTCTGGTCAGTACTATTAAAAAGCTAGCATTTTCACCTTTAACAGAGTGTCTACTCAATTATATTATTTCAGATTCTGAAGGATTCAGTGTACTGGGAGAGAAGCCTATGAGAGACACCTGTTATCATATGAGGACCAGACGCCACGTGCAAAAACAAGCACTTGGTGATAGACCAGCAGACCTTGGAGGAGGAAGCAAGTCTCTACACTTCACTAGAACTAAAAGCAAGTAATCTTCTGTTCACACACTGCTCAGGCATCAAACCGATGTTCACTCTCTCGGCTTCTCTTCCTCTTTTTCTTGCTTTCCCTGCCTGACCAAAAGCCACAACACCTACGGTAAGGACTGAGTGATCACAGCTTGTCCTCTCTGGGACTCTGGAGTCTTAGAGACAGAGGCACGTGGCCCTTAAAGAACTGTCCCAACACACTGGGTCTTTGTCTGGGTTTTGGGTCTCAGACGCATGGTAGGCCAAGGCCAGAGTGTGCTGGCAGATGTCCACTCCACTTAGACAACTACAGAACTGTATGGATTTCCTGCTCAGGCAGTTCTCTTCTTAAGACACCCACCCACACCATTACTACAACTACTGCCTTTTAACAAAATAAAACCCTGCTTCTTTGATGCTACTGGGACCCCTGTCTTAAGTCTCAATCCCGGCCACAGAGAATTACCTAGGAGGGCTGTGCTAATGCTCAGAGCAGATTCAGGATGATTGCATAAGGAACTCACAGGCAACTCAGGAATTTCCTAGAAGTACTTTGGGAAATTAAGTGGGCAGCCAAGGCTGCACACTGGGGTATCTCACCTTTTTCCATCTTTGTTGCTTGCACAAAACTTCCAAGTTATTTGACTTCATCCATCAGTCTTTGGCCATGGCTTAGAGTCTTCCTGCCAACCTGAGACCAACCCTCCCAAAGTTCTGACCTTTGAACACCTTGGGGACTCAACTTCCTGATCTCCAATGACATCACCTTCTACTCAGATCTACTCCAGACACCCACCCCCAGGGGCATACTCTGGATCTTGTCCTTACCCACTTCCAATATAACTCATTCAAAAGGCTTCCCATGCATCCCACATGCAAAGGACAGTGAAGCCTACTGACATGGGGATAGGAGACCAAAGATGATCCAACTGCTCAAGACTTTGCACCCCTTTTCTGCCTCACCAGCACTGGCCTTCCTATGTGCCCCAGTTCGTGAGCCTTCCCCCTTTCCACTTTCCTATCTATCCTGGCACTAAGGGGCCATTAATTCACTAGCACTGTCCGTTCTTTAAATGCCTTTATCGCTACACTTTTTCCTTGTGCCTATCTGGGAAATGCCTATTATCTGCTTCCCTTGGCCTGTGCCTGAGTGGCCACTCACTCCTCCCCCTCACAAGGCCATCTGCTGAGCTCACAACTTGCCTCCTACATCCTGTTCAATCTCCAAATCAAGCCACTCTCCTGCTCACCATCACAGTTCAGACCCTGTTCATACACTTCTACCTTGAGTCCTAAGTTTTATGATCAGTTCATCTCACCTGCTTGATGGGAAGATAGCATCCTTTTCCTTTTGACAAACACCGCACCTACCTCCATAGGCACTGCCCTATGACCCCTTCTCCCATAACACTTTACAGTAATAGCTACCCGTCCTGTTCTACACCTCCTGCCTCCTCAGGACACCACCCTTTCTACCTTTGCGTTTATCTTCTCTCTCTCAAGCAGGTCTTTCTCTGCAGTTCTCAAACACACTCAATCCTCTTCAATTGGAAAATTGCAGCCCAAAGCTCCCATGCTCCTCATCCCAGTCTCTGGGTGATGCCCTCAAGCTGGCCCCCTCCTCCCACAAACAGAAGGAAAGCCGTGGGGAAGATGCACTGCCATTCCTCACCTCTGCTCACTGCTCAACCCCTCACAATGGCTTCTGTGTCCACGTCCACTGCTCTTACCAGCAACACCACTTATCACCACCTGGCTAAGCCCTATGGTCACGCTGGTCCTTTTCTGACTTGCCCTTCCAGTAGCATGGGCCCCTGATGGCCATTTCCCTTCCCTGGTGCTGGGACTTGTACTCTCCTAGTATGCTTCCTGACTGCTCCTTCCTTGTTTTCTGTGATGCTTCTCTCTCCTCTAGCTGATCAGGACATAGATAAAGCCTCTCTGCACCTGGGACTGTCGCCACCAATCATGCTTCCCCATCTACCTCGTTCTTCTGGTAGTGCCTTTTCCTGGTCCTGGAGGTGTCTCAACCTACATCTGGGGCTGGGGGAGGGGTGTCAGTGCAGGGCAGAACAGGGACAAAGAGGAAGAAGCCCTCTGATACAGCTTTCCTAGCACTCAAAGCAATTCTGAAGCCATATTTCATCCAAACCTACTCCTAAGTGAGTCAGGATCTGGAGAAAGAAAAGATATGTGATTATAGTCTCTCATGAACCTTGGAGAGAAAGCTGTCTGGAAGGATTTAACTCCAGGTCAGCCTTGCTGAGAATGATGCACCTAAGCACATGTACCCTGGGATGAAAACGGACCTCATCAGTTTAAAAGGTCCATTAGTAAACACATGGGAGGAAGACCACAAATCTAAAGTGCAAACCAAGTCACCCATTCCCTATTGAAGTATTGATGATACACGAAACAAGTTGTGAAGCAACAGCAAGCAGCACACAGTGCCAACCAGCAAGCTGAAGCACCTCACATTCCTCCATGCAGATTATGCCACAAGGTCTAGTCCATGAAAAGTGTCTGTTTACCTTTACAACATGGCAGAGCTTCTGTGTCAAAGCGGAAACAGAACTGACATCGTAGTCTTGAAGACGAAATGTGTACCCGAAAGTTCTAGCATATTCTGTAAGCAGGTCTGCCATCATAAGGCAGTTATCTTTCTGGGACCGCAGAAGCTTAACAAACTGAGCAGCTAGAGCTTTGAACCGTTCCACCTCTGTCAAAGTAAGGATTTTTTCTTCTCCACACTCCAGTACCTTGGAAAACACATGAAAAAGAAAGGGAAGACTGAACAAATTATGATTGTTTATGAAATTAAATGGCATGAAAATGTAAGCTAGTAACTATAAAGCACATGTTGTTTAATGGATATGGAGGTTCAATGGACAAGATGATAAAGTGCTTGGAGGCTGTTTGCAAGTGAAAGTACTTACTGCTAAAGTGTATGCTAATGTGGTTACGACAGTGAATTCTATTATTCCTTATGTGTATTTTAAGACAATACAAGATTTTAAAGCACATTAGGACTCAAAGGTATTAATAAAATCAACAGCAGAATCTGGTTTCACTTAGGGCAGCTTAGCACCAGCATTCTCGCTGTGCTCACCCTACCTCCAGCATAGGGGTTTGAGAAATATGCAGCTACTGAAAGAACACACAGTTTAAGAAATTAAACTATCATCTCTTTTTCAATAATTACCCAAAGAGTTGTAAGAACTTTTTTTTTTTTTTTTGAGATAGGGTGTTACTATCTATGGAGTCCAGGCTAGTCTGGAACTTGTGATCCCCCTGACTCTGCCTTCCAAGTGCTAGGATTACAGCTGTGTACCACCATACCTAGCTGAATAATTCTTTAAAAAAAACTTTTTTGGGGAGGGCAGCACTGGGGTTGCCTGAACTCAGGGCCCCACATTTGCTAAGCAGTCAATCTTACTGCTTGAGCCACTCTGCTAGTCCTTTTTTTGTGAAGGGTAATTTTGAGGTCTCAGGGTTGACTCTGAACTGTGATCCTCCTGAACTCTGCCTCCTGGGGAGCTAGGATTATAGGTTTGAGCCACCAACTGCTGGCTAAGAATAATTCTTTATTGAAGAAAATCCCCACATTAACCTAAAAATACTAATGAGTCAACAACATTGCTTCTCTGATGGGAATATTTCAGACTGTTGGACGCTTTCATAACTCCCTAGTTCCCAGGAAAATAGTTGCTGAAAATGAAAAAAATCCATATATATAATGCTCAGAAAAATACTTACGGAATTAGAATCTCTTCACTTACTTGTAAAATATCAGGTATGGCTTCAAAAAGTTCAAGTAGTTTTGTAAACCCATAGTATGCAAGTTTGCACTGCCGGCCAAAGTGGTGATGGTAAGAGGGAATAAATTTGTTAAAGGGCATCCGGAAGTGGGGTTGGTGACGCAGCAAGTCAACAACATCCTTGGAGAACTGTTTTGTCCTTTCTATTTCATCCTGAGTACGTTCTTTAAAACAAACAAACGAATCTTAAATCACAGTCTTCTACCCATGTATGTTTAAAATCCACCATCTAGTCAGTCACATTTAGAGCTTACAAGTGATCATTTTTGCCTTCTAAACACACATATCTGTCCCTCTTTGCAAGCGGGTCTCACATATCCTGACGGTAGGACACTGGGAAGTCATGAACTATTACAGTGCATTGTGAGGTACCACGCATTCACCTTATGAACTGGAACAATTTTATATCCATCAACCCAGCCCCTTCTCATATAAATGAACATGATACATGTACAGCTATCTGTACATAAAAAGTAATCCAGAAATTATCCCTATGAAATTGTACTTGTGAATATTCACATGCTTTCTGCTTATTCGTTTGATCTTCAGTTAAGCACCAAAGTTTAACAAAAATAAAGAGAAAGTATTTAAGCTTAGATTTTTGCTTCTATTAATTTTTAAGTTAGAATTGGAAAAAGAGCAACATTACAGATTCTAGCCTGAAACACAATCCCCAGACATCACTGTTCCGTAGGAGCACAGATTCATAACTGCTGATCAGTAACAGTAGGAGAACACGACAACAAGCCATTTTAATGACTCCATTTCCCAGGCCTACAGCTGGAACTACTAAAATTTGAAAGACAAAACACAACATTCCTCTTGAGTTTTCGTCCTTCTCAAATGTGACAGTGAAGGAGCTCAGAGTTAAAAAAAAAGAAGATAAGCAACAGCTGTGAGAACAGACTCTCAACTAGAAAACTACAGCTGAAATAGCCACAGACAGGCTTGGCAAGGCTTTTCAAGAAAGTGCTAGTTATGCCCATTTTCCCTGTTGAGAGAATTCTAAAAATTTAGTGTTTTCCTTTTTGTGACAAGTGACTTCCCTCACGCTAAAGAACACAAGACCCACTGTATACCAGAGCAGCAGCTTTCAAACTGCTTTTCGGGGAATCTTCAACTATGGCAAGGGAGGGAAAAGTACACCTCCCTAAACAATTCCATTTTAAAATAACCACTGAGACAGATAGCACCCTTCCAGCGAATGTAGGTCACATACCTCTTTTGGGGATACAAATCACCGTATCATTATCTTGCTGGGACAAGCAGATGATAGTGTCTGGAATCTCTGATATGATATCAATCAACTCACAAACACCATATTCAGTGACATCCCAGTCCTTTGAGAAACACCTAGGTTTTAACGTGGGAAATGGAGAAAGAATGAGTAAAAACCATTCCTACAATAACTCCCAAGTTTTCAAAAATTTAAAATTTGGTGGAAGAAAAAGTGTTCAAAAACATTTGCTTTTGCTCTTTTACTTTCCATCAACTCACCAATGATAAGCCTGTGAGAATTCTCTCACAATGACCTGTTTGCTGGCCTGAGACTTGAGAAGTTTTAGTAAATCCTGAGTAAAGCGCTTCACCTGTGCCCTGTGGGTGAGGGTCAGCAAACGTTTGGAGCCCATTCCAAGAATCTGCAAATCAAACATTTTGATTGTTTATTCTAAGACCTCAGAAGATGCTAACTTTCTTCTTACTGACTCTCTCTCTCTCTCATTACTACCCTCAGAGGATAACTTCCTTTACATTATGCGATGTGAGACACACATAAATCAGTAAAATGTGCAGCCAGAAAGAATAATGATCTAATTGCTTAAAACCTTTTTTTGGCCCTGCATATCCTCTCTCAAATAGTCATGAGTACAGAGAGGAAAAACATATGATCAGTCTGGATAATTAATTTTGACTCTAAAGTTTTTTAAGCCTTTTATTATAAATGGGAAACTATTATACACTGTCTTCAGGCAAAGTTACAAGACAAACTTCGTAGGATCCAGTGCTTATTATGCTCTAGCCCAGTGACTAATCTCCAACTCACTGAGAAAGGTTATGCCCTGACTCATACATAGGCACCAATGTGTAAGCAGGTGGACATTCTCAGCAGCTCCCTTGTAATAATGAACAACTGTGGAGAGAACTGTGCTGGGAGGAAGGAGTCAATCTGCAGACATTAGAGGGAAAATATTCCTCAGGCCTCTAAGGAGTTCCTTTAAGTTAGAACTACAGTTTCCTAAAAAACTGAGAAAGCTTCCTTGGGTAGATTTCCTACACTGTGAAGAAAGCTTCTTTAGGACATTTAGCCAAAACTGACTTCTTAGGAATTTGGCTACTATGTGTTGGGACAGCCAAAGTCATGGAGGAACACCCTTTCAGCCAGGAACCCCTTAGTATTCTTTACCTGCAACACATGAGGCACTGCTTCTAGTAACTCAATCAGCTTGGAATACCCATAATCCGAAACCCGGCACTGCTTTGCAAAATGGTGGTGATAAGAAGGGATGAAATTACTAATCGGTATGACACAAGATGGTTGGTTCTTCAGTAAGTCAATGACTTCTCTACTGAACTGGATCAGCTGGGGATTACCCACAGGACTTTTAGATCGCAAGAGCCAAGGGTCTAGAGAATGAAAGAACATAATTAAGACACAAAGCAGGATTTTATGTGCTGAAAGGAAGTCACTAACTTTGTAGTTTCTGGTTTGAGTTCAATCATGAGCAAACAGAGGGAACCAAGCAGCCCTTTTACATCTCAGATTTTGTACTCAGGTCCCACCGAGCCAACTGGCTACTCAACCTCATTTACGGTCTGGGCAACCATTTCCACATTTTCTCAAAGTTAAGAAGCCAAAGTAAAGCACAGTTCACCATAGTGTTACCTACCGTAGGAGTGAAAATATACAGGAATTCTCCAGTTTATACACTGGTTGTATTTCATAGAGCCATTTGGAGTTTGGTCATATGGAACATACTTTTCCACAGAGCCAAGTATAAATGGCCATCAGTTGGTAGCCCATAAGAACATAATTACCCACAGTGGAGTTGAAAATGTCACCCAATACTATGGAAAGCAGTAATGTAATAAAACTACCAGGACAACCCCAGTACCTAGGAGGCCGAGTCAGAGGAATCACGAGTTCAGACCAGCCTGGGCTACACAGTGAGACCTTATCTCAAAAAACCAACCAACCAATCAATCAACAAATAAAACTACCACGACATAAAACCAAGGAGGAAATAAGTTTCTGCATTATCTTGAATGCTCACACCTAGAAAACAAAATAAAACCCTTTAATTAAAAAAGGACTATCGGATGGAAACCTTTACAGAGGTGGAAGGGGCAACCTAATCCATAGACCCCTGAGCATCTAATCCATAGACCCCTGAGTATCTCACACTGAGGAAAGGAGGAGCTCAGTGAAGAACTCTCACTCAGCACTTCTCCAAAAGGTGACTGACTGGGGCTGAGATCCCTGGTGAGCCTCATCTCTCTACCTGCACAGTAGGGGAAGGGGGATGTAGGAGGAGAAGAGGAAAACATGTTGGGGGTCAAAAAGAAGTAAGGGTCTACATACAGACATTAGCGAGCTAGACGCCGGTGGCTCACGCCTGTAATCCTATCTACTTACAGGCTGAGATCAGGAGGATTGCGGTTTGAAGTCAGCCTGGGCAAATAGTTTGCAAGACCCCATCTCCAAAATAACCGGGACTTGGAGGTGTGGCTCAGGCAGCAGAGAGCCTGCTTTACTAGCTTGAAACCATGAGTTAGTTCAAACTCCAGTGCCACCAAAAGAAAGTAAACATTAGCAACACAGCACGCCATAAATTTCACCCAAATGTTGGCCCAAACTCCCAGTTTCTTTATACAAAGTCACTCGCTTACTCATCAAGGTCAGAAATGTTGACTAAAATGAATTTCAAAGGTAAATCAGCATCAAAAAATATTTCCTTCAAATACCTTCAAATGGCCTTTTTTCAAGGCCAGTCAATTATTAATAAACCAAAGGCTTCACAAAATCAGGCAGCTAAAGAGATGGGTAACTGAAACTTGGATTTTAAGGTTTTTGCATAATTTATGCTCATACTTTCAAAAGTCTGATTTTGCCAAACTCTCAGCATTTTGAAGAGTTTTTAGAAGATCAGAGACCTCAATGGTGTTTTCACACTTGGCAAATGGTGCTGCTGTTTTAAATAAAAGGCAACAACTTCCTTTTAGTCTCACACAGTGGACAATGGGAGGTCTGGAGGACTAAATTCCTAACACCTACCAGTGTTGGGGGGCGGGGGCTTGTTGTGAATCCACTTGACCACTTTGACACCATTCTGAGCAGTGGCAATGTTCACACCTGGAATGCAGGTAATGAAGTGCTCTAAGGGGACCCCCCCATGGTTTTCCTGCACTTCTTCCAGGTCACCAAACTCTGCAGCATAGCAATCTGGAAAACTGAAGGGGGAAGGAAAGGAAAAGGTTAAATAACAAAAAAGCAAAGGCACATGCCAAACAGTAGGCTTTGATGGATCTGTTAAGTAACTTTAGTTTAAATGCCCACAATCTGGGTTTGAATATTAAAACTGAAGTGTGGAGGAGGTTGGTGAAGGGGGGGCAAGTGCTGCAGAACTGGCCTCTGTGATGCATTCTGATGATGCTAGAATTACTGGGCAGTAAGTATTCCCGGAGGACTTAAATATAAGGTGACAGGGTTCCTGGTCAATTACTCAACTGATTTAAAAGTTCAGGGTATTAAGACCACTTAGTCTACCATTGTGGCCCATGGAGCAGATAAATGCACTTTTTGTGATGGTACTTTTTTGTGATGGTACTGGTGTTTGAACTCAGGGCTTTGTGCTAAATGTGCTTTTGAAGAATACTTCTGAGTGCTAAATTTTGCAAGCAGTTGATATTTTGCACTCTTGTGGCACTGCAGGTTTCTAATACAGCACATATTTCTTCCCCAGGGAGAACACAATGTCTTGTGTTAATGTTTGTGAAATTCAACACAAAGTCAAGTTTTCTCATTGAAATACTGACTGACTAGATCCCATCTCAGATGGACTTTGACTGTAAGCCTGGTAACATTAGGACAAAGAGCTCCCCACCTTTCAGTGTGTCAATAGCAGGCATCCTCTCTACAGAAAGGATGGCGTGCTGTTCCAATACCCACAGCTCCGACAGGACTCACCTTAGCAAAGGCACAGTACCCTCGTGGGTCTGGAGAAGACTATGAACCTGGGATGCAAACGTCTTCAAAGAGAGAATCACAAAAGGAATCTTGTAAGCGTCTGGATCAAATTCATGTTCACTGTAGAAAAGAGAACAAAACAGTCACTGACATTCCTTAGAGGTCCAAACTTTCACAGGGTAATTAATTCTAATAGATGTTCCATAATCTTCTATGAAAGAACTGCTTCTGGAGGGAAATGGGTGACATACCTGAAGTCCTTATTAGAGCAATGCTGCCGGCAGACAGGCTCATGATACTCCAACTCTTCAAATATAATTGGACTGCAATTCGTGGAGGAGCCGTCATGCGACTGGGAAGACCCCAGAGGGCTCTGGCGGGCCTGACTGCTAGGTAAGAGACACACCAGCCGCCCATTTCCCTGTTCCCGGATTGCAACCATGTCTGTTAATTTATACAAGTCTGACACATTCAACTTGTGCCCAAACCTAAGAAGAGGAGAGAGATGCCAATTTAGGATATTTTTCTTTGTTTGCACAGAAACATCTGTTTTGTTTAAATAAAGGGCCACAACCAAGAATGATTTCTCTGACTCTTCAAAAGTAAAACCAGACTATTCTATGAACTCATCTGCTGCTAAACCCATGATGCCTCGTTCCTTGGACCCATCTTTGGGTCACTGCCCAGTACAATGATCCTATCTCTTTTAGCCTTTCCCTCAAACTTGCCAGTTTCTGTCTAGGCCCTCACCGGAGTTTCTAAGATGGAAAGTTCCCTGCTACTGCCCATCTCAATGTGTCTCCCCTCACTTCCAAATCCCTCTGTATACCTCTCTCCATAGAGCGTCTGTCTAGCAGGCATGAGGCCCTGAGTTCTAACCCCAGCACCACCAAAAAAAAAAAAAAAAAGATTAACAACTTTAAAGAGGACATTACAGTGCTACTTAATGGACCCACAGTGTTGTACAACCTCTCTCCAGCCTTGTTCTCTGCCCTCAGAAGTTACTGCTATATAGCTACTCTCTCACCTCTCCCTCCACTGTGGGATCACAGCTCATCTGACACTAGACTATTCATAACCCCTGCTTGTATCTGTCATACCTGGACCTTAAAGGGCCAGGCTCTAGAAGCAGACAGACTTGAGTTCATATTTTGACTGTACTTCAACTTGGACAAGATACACAACCCAATCTGAGCCTCAGTTTTTCTACCTGTAAGAAAGGGTAATGATAACATGTGCCTCATAGGGTTGATGTGAGGGTTAAGTATAATTAAATATGGACAGGAATTGACTCAGGGCACGTGCTCAATAAATGTTACCTACTCTTCTTCCTGCCTCTCCAGTGCCCGATGTCCACGCTCAGATTTCCCCTCTACCAAAGTCAGTCTCCTGTTGTCTCCTCCACCCAGGGAGAAGTCCATTCTCCCAAGTGTTCTCATTCTTAGTCTTGTATTCTCGTCTCCCCTACAATGAAAACAGCTGGCATCTCAGGACCTGCATCTGTTGTTCTATACCCCAGACTCTCGGCCCCTTTCCTCCAAGGTCTTATCCATAGGACTCTATGGTGACAGCCCTACAGTCACCAGTGGTCTTCATCTCATCCCCACACCATTTACTTGGCCGCTTTTATTCCTACAGGCTTAACATGCTCTTTTTACTCCTCCTCATTACAACACCCACATCCCTGGGACTTGGCCTGCTTTCCTGACCCCAGCAGCCTTCCATTCAGTTCTGCCCTTCTCCTCTCCTCTCACAGACTCTGGTCTCATCTGTTCCCATGCCCATCATGAGGCACTTAAAGAAAATAACTCTCTATGCTTACAGCTGACTTCTCTCCTGAGGGACCCGAGTACGCAGAAGAGAGCTTGAACTCCTACACCGCTACTCAATGGCTCCCAAAACTTGTATGTCTGAAACCACAACTCAACACCTGCTGTGCCTCCTACTTGTGCTTTAGTTCATTTCCTATCGAACTGTCCTATATTCCTCCCAGCCATCCAAGGCAAAACCTCAAACTGACCTCTACCTTTGACCTGCTTCATGGCACTTGAAATTTCTGTACATCTAGTTCCTTCTGCTCTAACAGCACCTGCTCACAGCAAGGTCTGGGGCAGCATAGCACTCTCCCTTTTCCATCTCCCTCCCTCCCTGTTCATACCCTCTCACTTCACCCCTCTCCTCCTCTTTCTCCTTCCAAACATGCAGTGCCCCCCACCACTACCCACCAAATAACGGACATGCTCCTTGTTTTCCCTTCCTCAAAGCATTTTCTCCTCTTTGCTTCTTTCCAACCACCTTTTGATTTCTAGAAGAATTTATGAACATTTTCTCTTTCCTTCTAATAAGCTCCTTGGGGCAAGGCATGTCTTGCCCAGGGCTGCATTTCCTGCAACACCTCGGTCTTTTATTCCACTAACACTTGCAAACCATAAGCAGCATACTGGGTGCTAAAGACAGGACTAGGTCAGATCCAGAGTTTATAGTCTAGAAGGCACTAAAAAATGGCATGCAATGATACTTTTACTCAGTTAATTGGCAAAAAAAAAAAAAGGAAGAAATGTAGCTTGGGAACTGAAGTCTAAATTTGCTAAAAATGAAAGTTTTTACAAATGTATGTTCAATTTAAATTTTAAATTGGAACAACTCTGTTTCATTTCCTTTATCAGGTTGGAAGTTCCTTAAGAGTCACTACCGTGGAGTTGTGCATAGAAGTCACCAACCAGTACCGACTGGACCAGTGAAACAACCAGTCTAACTTACTTTTTTTCATAGAGATCCGTAAATTTAAAAAGTGGCAGACAACAGGCAGGAGCATCCTGAAGAATAGACATTGTTTCTGCACTGTAAGATACAATTTTTATTAATTAGAAAACTGACTTGTACATTACAAAGTTTTGTTTGTTTGTTTTATCGGTGGTACTGAGGTTTGAACTCAGGGCTTCACAATTGCTAGGCAGGTGCTCTACCACTGAGCCACACCCCCCAGCCTCCCCCTCTTTTTTTTTTTTTTTTTTACCTTAGTAAAGACAGTGACTTATTAGCAGCTCCTGTGGCAAGTGAGACCAAGATCTTCTTGCTTCCGATTTTATACCTATGGAGGCTGTTCACTGCACAGATAGCTTCTTGTAAGGTTTCCATCTGAACAACAGCTTTGAGCTGATAATCTGTATGGGGGCTGAGCTCCACACTCTTCACCTGCAGCAGGACAAAGGAGAACAGACCTGTCATCAGGGAATTGTTAAGGATTATGTTTGTGGACTTCAGTGCTCCCGGAGGGAGCTCATCTGAACTTCTGCCAACTTGAATGTAGGTGACCTAGGATGGGGTGACCTGCCTGCACGCTTTGGCACACACAGCTCTCTGAGGCAGACTCAGAGGCCAAGACATGGGAGGGGTCTTCCAGGTCTTCTCCAGACCCTGTAAAACAGATCTGTAAAAGGTACATTTTTAGCAAATTGCACCTAAATACTTAATCAGCTACATTATTTTATAAAAATAGCATTATTTTCAAATCTTCTTTCTGTATTTCAGGAGACAGAGCTAATTGAAACCCATATTTTTCCCAATGTACCACTGAAATCCTTGCCTATGACAAGTGCTGCTCACTTCGAGATTTCTTGCTTTCTGGTGCTATCCTAAACACTGGATGACCAGCGCTACACCAAAAGACACAAGGAAAAAGAAGGAGTCTGAACCTGCCCAATCACATTTGTATCCTGGCTGTGGCTATGTGTGTCAAATTCAGTTCTCTAATCTTGAAACTCCTCCAAAGGGTGAAAGCAGCAAGACCAGAATGAAAGGTACCTTGCCATGCCTAGAAAAAGCCTCCTGGATGAGCTGCTGCAGCTCCTTCCGGGACAGCCTGTAGTCGATGTTGCTGACCTGGATGTCAGCTCCATTTGCAAAAGGATCTGGGCAGTCGGCTCCACTGTTGGAAGTGGCAACGTTGAACGCAAGTGGGGAGGCTCTGTTTAAAAGGTTTGGAGACATACTCCTGCTGAAGACACAATTGAGATATAGAAAAACCTCTTCATCAGATTTCGGCTTCATCACAGACTCTGTGTGTTTGAAGCTGTACACAGAAGGCACTTTAACATTTGGTTTTCAACTAAACGCATACTAATTTAGACCTGCTGCTGAAGTACTATCTATTGACCCCTTACCAACAGTCAAATTATGTAACTGAATTTCATTGGATTACTTAAAGCAAAAGGGAAAATTACCAGCAGCCTTCATGAATTAACTTTCTACTTTGTGGATTTATTCTGAGAAAATTAGCTTGCTACCACTTTAAGCCATCTGACCTTGTCTTCGGTTCTGAAAATGCTAGGTATTCTTGCTCCTATGTTAGAGTCCCTCTATGCATTAGGAAAATTCTTACGGCAATTTTTAGATGTAACTTTACACATACTTTCGTATGGTTCTTTACCAACTTAGCAGAACCAATGCAATGCCAGATGCCCAGGGGGCACGACTTCCCCTTAAGACACCCTTGTCTCCCAAGCTCAGGAAGTATCTGGTGTGATTTTGAAAAGTTTAAATACGCAAAGTGAAAGAGAATTACAGTGGTTCACAGAGACCCTACTTCTCAAAAAACTTTTTTTTTTTTTTTTTTGTGGAACTGAGGTTTGAACTCTGGGCCTCATGCAGGTGCTCTACCACTCAAGCCACTCTGCCAGCCCTGCTTTGTGTTGGGTATTTTTGAGATAGGGTCTCTGGAACTATATGCCCAGGCTGGCTTTGAACTTTGATCCTGATCTCTGCCTCCTGAGTAGCTGGGATTACAGGCGTGAACCACCAGTGCTGAGCTTCAAACAGCTTCCTATATGAGTCATAGTAGTAAAGAGTGACAAGGCATGCCTACTTTGGGCCTTTTCAACACAATGAACATAGTCATCCTAAAGTGCCCCCCTCTGACATCTGTCTACCAAAATTCTGAGATGGAGAGAGAGACACAAATGGTGAGAAGCAGTGTCCCTAAATGGAGCTATGGAAACCTGAGAACAAGGGAATCAGGATGAAGACTTCTCTTGTACTTTGAGCATTTCTACAGTGTTCCGATAACAGGCACACTGTTTCAGAATCCTTCCTACTGCCTGTATCCACCCCCGAGTCAAAACGCTGGACTCACCTAGGAGACCAAGACTGAGATGTGAGCAGAGGACTGACTTGCCTTGACGCAATCAATTTGCTGAAAGCAGACGGGTAGCTCACTTGGAAGACAGTCTCTTCCTTATCTTTTTTCTCTACGGGAGAACTGCTAACGCTTCGAGCACTGAGGTTCTCCTTTCTAACAGAAGGGAAAATTAAAGGGAAATGTCACATGTCTTCAGTCACCTTAAAGAAGCAACTGTGAGAAAGAGTGATTTAACATACTTTGGATTGCCTCTGTAAAGTGGCTCTGTCATTCCCGAGTTTTTCAGTGTGGGACCTGCAGAACTTGGGCTGCTATGAAGCGGTGCTGCCAGCCTTAGGTGGCCCTGCTGGGGCTCAGTGTTTCTGTTGCCAGTCTTCGACTCCATGCGGCACAGCTCCTTAAAAGACACAATTGCAGTGGGTTTAAAATTTAAGTACTCAAGATGTGTTAGATACTGATAGAAAATAACAGACTTTGAGTCTTAACAAAAAGGACATATCAGGCCGGGTGCCGTCGTTCACGCCTGTAATCCTAGCTACTTGGGAGACAGAGATCAGGAGGATCACATTTCGAAGCTAGCCCAGACCAACAGTTCAAGAGACCCTATCTCAAAAACACCCAACACAAAACAGGGCTGGTAGAGTGGCTTAAGAGACAGCACCTTCCTAGCAAGCATGAGGATGAGGCCCTGAGTTTAAGCCCCAGTACCAAAGGGCAGGTTTGCAGGGAAAGACACACCACAAAAGCCAGCAGGCACATAAGACGGAGATATAGAGAACCAAAACCTACCATAAACTTCAGAAAGCAAGAGGTATCAAGATTACCTGCAAACTTTTAACGTTTGTATTTTTTGTAGCAGATCCAGAATTTGCCTGTGACCCTTTCCCAGGCATGGCTTTGGCACTGGAAGATTGTTCACTTGCATCTTTGATGAGGCACAATTTTTGATTCTTAAGTTTTTTGGGGGACTTCACTTTATCAGCAATTGCATTTGAACTCTTTGCTTCACAGAGTTCTCTAGTTTTTGGAGTAAATGACACAATGATCCTATTACCAAACACATCTTCATTTTCCATTCGCTTCTGAGCCCGCTCTGCACTGTCTTGGTTTATGAAGCGGAGAATTGCACTGCAGCCCGTGATACTCAGCACTTTCCCACCACAATTATCAGACAGGCGTTTGAGCCTGTTGCTGATGCTCTTGCCATCTTTATTTGCTGGTAGGTTATAAACATAGAGCAGAGTGTGGCACTGCTAACACAGAGGAAACAAGTGTTACATCAGGTTAACTCAAGGGCACACATTCATTTCAAAACAAGAACAACGGATGATCTCTAAACTCTAGCTAACAACTGAGGAGGGGAGGTAATAGTCATTTAGATGGGAGAGGATAAACTAAGTAAGTTTATCCTTTGAATGTTGTTTTTAGAAAATATGCTAGGTACAGAAGGCTATATATTACATGATTCCATTTCTATAAAGTGTCCGGAGAAAGCCAAGTGTGGTGGCATACAACCGTAATCCCAGCACTTGGGAGGCTGAGGAAGGAAGATTTTGAATTTGAAGTCAGCCTGGGCTAAATAGGTATCTTACTGTAATGAGGGAAATATTCTAAAACTGGGTATGCAGCTCAGTAGAATTATTAAAAATTAATTACACACTTAAAAAAAGTGAATTTTGTGCAATGTAAGTCACAGCTTTGTAAACTTTTTTTTTAAGTCTATTTATTCAGTGGAGCTACTGAATAATATTTGATAAAGTTAGAGTCTATCTAGCTACAAGGACAGGTAAGGTAGGCAGTAGTCGGCCTAGAAATTCAATTAGACACTCAGTAGTCAAAATCCTTCCAGATGAGTTAGAATTTATGTCTTATAAAGTAGAATCGTTAAAATGTCAGAAGACAAACTTACGATAAGCCAGGCACCAGCGGCTCACGCCTATAATCCTAGCTACTTAGGAGGCACGATCAGGAGGATCACAGATTGAAGTCAGTCTGGGCAAACAATTCACAAGACCCTATCTCAAGAAACCCTTCACAAAAATAGGGCTGATGGAGTGGCTCAAGGTGAAGGCCCTGAGTTCAAAACCCAGTACCGCAGGGGGGAAAAAACAACTTAATTGTGGAAAAGGTTAAATTAAGAAGCCACAAAAGAAACGACTAGAAATGTGCAAAAGATGTGAACAATTTTTAAAGGAATTATGGAGAGGAAATGACAATTAAAGGATAATTTGCATCTTGCTAGTGATTACTAGAAAGGCCAACTGTATGCAGATAACATTTCACCTATCAGGCTGGCCTGAGGTTTAAAGCAGATACTTGCACGGTCTGATAGGAGTGTAAATAAATGCTATTTTCCTGGAGGACATCTTGGATCTTGTCAGTAAAATTCTGACCTGGACCAGCACACCTTAGAACTTACTCTCCAAACTACCAGCCCAGTAGCTCAAAAAACAACGTGGGTGAACTTGCTGGAGATGGTAAAAAACTAGATAGAAAATACCCAGTAATAGGTAGACTGGTTAAATTAAAGACCAGCCATATAAGTTTGTTGCAAATCAACATTCTGTTGGCTTTCAAAACATGGTAGATTCACGTCAATATGTAGGGACATGGAAATACATTCAAACTAATACATTAGGTTTAAGAAAAGCGTTAGCTATGACTGAAGTCCATTACACTTTGTATGATGAAACTCCCTACTGTGTATAATTCAAAACCCTTCACTATGAATAATAAGAAAAAAACACATAACACAACATAGGAGACACAAAAGCTTTTAAAAATTTACTACACTTAAAATTTGGAGGCCAATACCAACCTGTTAACAATGATTACCTCTGCAGGGTAGGATGGTGGGGTCTACACTTTTCTTATTTCTGCGGACTGTTTTTTGTTTGTTCATACAAAGAACACATTACTTTTCTAATTGGAGGCTTTCATCATCAACAAAATCTCACTTTTCCTATTACAGCTTGGACTCAAAACCTAATCCTAGCTACTCAGAGGCAGAGATCAGGAGAATCAAGGTTCGAAGCTACCCTGGGAAAATAGCTTCATCACAAAAAGGCTGGTGGAGTGGCTCAAGGTGTAGGCCCTGAGTTCAAGCCTCAGTACCACCAAAACAAAGTATAAAAGTGACAAACTGAAGGACATAAAGAAAAAAAAAATGAATCTTCATTTAACTGTGAAGACTAAGTTTTGATTAATCAGTCTTTTTAACCATAAGAAATAAAGATCTTTAAAGTAGGTGAGCTTGCACCCACAATTGGCCTTCAAAGTTAGAAAACAGAGTATGAAACGGAAGCCGAAGGGAGGAAAGACAGCTACAGCCACAAGACTACACACAGGGGATAATGACAAAGGTGAGTTAGGAAAGAAGCTAAGAAGACTGGCAGGGCTTGTATGTGTTACTCCTTGTGCAAGACTCTGAGATTCTCCCAATATGAATTATGTACAGTATGTGTTTGTCTTGAGTCAGGCTTTGTGCCTTCTGGGCAGGCATCAGGGACTGCAATGGGAATAACCCGGCAAGAGCTTGAATTAGAGGACCTGGGGCCCAACTTTTTCTCTGCTGCCAATGTCAGTGACTGCTAAGTCACTGAGTTTCCTGAGTGCTAACTTCTTTCTCCCTTAAATGAGGACAGTGGATGAAAACATTTCTAAGATATATCTGTAAGAATTTCCAAGATAAATCTGTAAAAATGCAGTTAGGGCTGGTGGAGTGGCTCAAGCAGCAGAGCACCTGCTTAGCAAGAGTGAGGCCTGAGTTCAAACCCCAAAATACAAACCTCCATAAAACAAATGAACAAAAGAGCACTCAACACGTAAGACTGCCCACTCTCCTGGATCATCCACTCTATAGCTCCTCCTTATTATAATTTATTTAAGAGTTACACATGTATTCTCCAAATAGCTTAAACCCAACTTAGTACATTCTTACCCCGAATTAAGCCTAACAGAAATGTCACTCCTGGCATTCGGTTCAAGCAGACTACAGGTGGAACGGTAATCACAACCCAATGGCAGCCACGCATGACAGGGGAGGCTCTATAAAATGCATAACTCACCTGTCTGCTGTAACTTAAAAGATTAAATGCCCAGCACAATTACTACTCACTGGACAACCAACCCAGGGGTACGTGTGAACTCTCATTGCATTCCCTACCCCGAATACTTGGAAGCAAAGAGAGTAATGACTCTTATTCCATTACTTCCCTCCACTTGACAGAAAACTATGCTAGCTTTGGAGACAATGGCAGATGACTGTTAGTGAGGCAAATCTACAAACCGATTCTCTGCATTTTCGAAAAAATAAAAGGAAAAGTTCATGAATATCAGTTCTCTGTGTATATGTAAAGTTTTCCAAGCCTTACTTCAAATCCAACCAGCCTTCTACATCTGGACATGACCACCCCCTTGGTTAGGACTTTCAACCTGCATAATTTATTACTGAATGGCACAAATAATATAAATTACTTACTGGCATCTTTAGTGGTAACCTGGGGGGCAAATCAGAAATGAACTCTTCAAATCTGATCAGCTCATTAGCATGATGCAGTAGGGCTTCTGAGGCCTGGTTTTTATGGACCAAAATTATGTGGAAGCCATGCCTGTGTCTCAGATCACTGAGTTCCAATGCAAAGTTAACATCAGCTGAAAGAAAAGATAAGCCATCTTATCATTCCCAAACATTAGAAACACTTGACAAAGACAGACAACTCTAGCAACACCACTGAGAAGAATGGCTGGTTCGAACTTAGTTGCTTCTCTCTTCCTTTTAAAAAATGAGCACAATCCCTATCAGGATGACTAACGTGACGGAAAATGACACCACATACCTATGTGGAATGCCAGCGCATATGTTACTTCTTGTTAATAGGGAGCAACTATCAATATATTGGGGTGACTCATCTTTGGAAATTATCATTCTGCATTTTTTAAGTTAGTAATAGCCCAGAGTAAAAAATAAATAAAATCCTATCTTCTTTAATAAACGTGGCCCCAAAAGAACTCAGGCTCCAAAGAGAAAATACAAAACTTCACAAAGACTCAATTTTTTCTCAACAATTCTCAACAAGAAGCATGGCTGTGTATTTCAGCCTCTTTGGGGGCACACTTGCCTTTGAAATTTTTCTGGCTCTACATTAATTCCTGCACAGTAGTGAAGCTGAAATGAAAAGTCTGCACACTTACTTGACACGAGAACCACAGTGGCGGGGGCAGTGTGAGTGTTTGCAAACCTTCGGAGGCTCTGTCGGAGCTTATCATCAGCCGCATTCTTTGCAGTAGCATTGATGTGAGCAACCGTTACCTGCATTAATGTATAGCAGGGGTGAATGAGCAAGAGCCAAGGTTAGAAAACTGCTGCACACTTTGACCACATTTTAGTTGCTAGTTCTTTTTTTGTTTATTTGTTTTGAGAAAGGTCTTGCTATGTAGCTCAGGTTAGCCTAGAACTCAAGATCCTCCTGCCTTTAATTCCCGAGTGCTGGGATTATAGGATTGAGCTGCCATACCCAGCACCTAATGGGTAATTCTTGAAACTCTTTACTTTTGTTAGGAATGGAAAAAGATTATAATTAGATCTCATAATTTCAAAATTAATTCTCCATATGCGTTAAGTGGGCCACTTACTATTCCTGCTCTCAAATCTAACTGCTTTCAGAAAATAAGTAGAGAAAAGGTAACGAAACTTATAGTCATTAAATTTGCCACATATACCTTTTACCCACAATTTGGAGGTGGTAGAAATCATCTGTCGATTAAGGTAGTACAGTTTGGGGTTGTCATTTGTCTATGCTATCCATTGTCTGTGCAGTAACCACCAATAGAGCCAAAAATGCACTAATTCCTGTGAAGACTAATAGGCTCACATGTAACAGTCCCCAAAGCAAAGAAAGGCTTATTTTGAGAGGTGCCTTAACCACATGCAATACACAATAGGATTTATTAGCTTTTGGAAAAAACATAAATATATAATTTTGAACAGAAATATGGAATATCAATGGAATCAGTTGTCTAAGAGTCAAAAGGTCTGGGCTCTATTTCTAGCTTCAGAGCAAATACTACAGGGTCAGACAACTGAATTTAAGTCCTATTTCTCTCACTTACTGCCATGTGATCTTAAAAAAGTTGCTTTCCCTCTCAGGACCTTACTTTCATTTGTAAGTTGCAAATGAACCAGGCATGACTGCCTGGTTCAAAGAGCAGTCATGAAAGTTAAAGGAGGCAATACACCTGCAACTACCAGTAGGGCACAAAAGTGTAAGTAACATGACTGAATGATCAGACATGATTAGGTGATTTCTAGCACTTTAGGAATAATCTGCTAATTCCTTTATTTGAAAACAGCACAAATGCAGCATCATTAAACAAATTTGGAATTTTGTGGGGGGGGGGGACAGCACTGGGATTTGACCTCGGAGCTTTATGCTTGCTAGGCAGGCGATCTACCACTTGAGCCATGCCTCTAGTCTTTGGGCTCTGGTTACTCTGGAGATAAGGTCTCACTTTTTGCCCAGGCTGGTGTGGAACACGATCCTCGTATTTTATGCTGCTTTCTGTTGCTGGAATGACATGTGTGCACCACTGTTCCTGGCTTTTTTCTATTGAGATGAGGCTGTCACAAACTTTTTTGTACCTGGGCTGGTTTGGAACCACAATCCTTCTGATCTTAGATGCCTATGTAGCTTGAGATGACAGACACATAGCATTGCACCCAGCTATCAGTAACTGGTTTTGTTTTTTTGTTTTTTGTCTTTTTATTGTTGTTTTTTTTTGGTGGGACTGGGGTTTGAACTCAGTGCTTTGCCTTGCACTATACTGCTTGAGCCACACCTCCAGTCTATTTTGGAGACAGGTGTCTCTCAAACTATTTGCCCAGGCTGGCCTCAAAACATGATCCTCCCAACTTCAGTCTCCCAAGTAGGTAGGATTACAGGCATGAGCCTCTGGTGCCTGGAAAGTCTCACAGACTTTTTGCAGAGGCTGGCCTTGAACTGTGAACTTTCTAATCTCAGTCTCCTAAGTAGCTAGGATTACTGGTATGAGCCATCTGCCCCTGCCTTGATATTCTTAAAAAACAATCATGGTACCAAATCAGATTAGAATTCTTCTTTTTTTTTTTTTTCTTCTCTCCTTTTATTTTATCATTTTTACATTTACTTACATGAGATTAGAATTCTTTAAAAAATTATTTTTTACCTGGCAATTATTCAGTTCTTGAATAACTTCTTTATTTTCTTTACTGATGTCACACACACAGATGAATTCTGCTTCTCTGTGGCCTTTAAAAAACTTTTCACGAATTCTCTGTACAACAGTAGTAGCTGACCGCCCAGAGGGAACTGAGCAATTTTCAATATCCCAAAAAACTCCAATGGGGGGTAAGTTTTCTAGCACCTGTCCAGCTATTGCAACTTCTGGTGACCCTTAAGAAATGTTAAACGTTTAATTACATGTGGTGAAAAAGTGGCAAATTAAAACAATAACTGGTAATTTCCTATCCTTCTTAGTGGCAGAAAAACTAAATAACTGACTGAAAATTAAGGATACCAAGCTTGCTGGTTGACCTTATGAGCAAGCAAACTGCTACAGTATCACTCCAAGAGATTATTCCTAGTTTTGAGAACAAATCTACAGGCCAAGTGACTTTACAGTCATAACAAATCCACCACAAAGCCCAAGCCAGTGGCACATGGTCAGTGATGCATCTCTGAAAACTAGCATGCGACCTACAGGCTGCTGAAACTCCAAGGCCTGATTTCACTCAGCCACACCTAGCTACCTGCTGGGGATGGAAAATGCTGAAGAGATGACCAAGGTGAAGATATCCCTGTTGCTGACTTTAAATTATTTGTAACACCTCATTAACATCTGATTTAGCATTTCAAAATGTTTTCAAAAGATAAAATGCCACATTAACTGCTTCTGGGGGAAATGATTTTAACTGGGAATGCTCAGGTTTTCAAATTCATTACTAACCTGTTCTAATATTAAATTCTTCTAAGTATATATCGCATATGTGACTAGGAACCTAACTTGACCTCAGAGCTCCTTTAGGTCTCAGTTTCTCCCAACGTACTTCCCATTTCTCTACATATCACTTCTGATCTCAAATAGCCTCAACCGGCACAAAGGACAAAGGGTTTACTGTCTATAATAATAGAGATTTTTACCAACAGATGGAAGGGGAGACTGGTATACACTTTTGAACTCACAAAGGTGTTTAGAATCACAAATAATCTTTAAAGGGCAATTTATGCAATGTTAGTATCACATAGTGAAAATTACTCAAATATGCACATTTTATGCCATACTGTCATTTACCAAATTTCGAAGCAGCTTTGCCTAGACTGGGTGCCAGTAACAACGTAGTCTCCTTCCTCGTTCCTTTGGTTCCACAGCCATTACACAGAGGGATAGCAAGAGGTGCAGGCTGAGTATTTGGAGGTGGTATATTTGGCCAGACTTTAGCAGCATCAATTATATTATTTCTTGCCGGCTGTTTTAAAATTTTTTTGAAAAGAAGGAAGTTTCAGATATATTATTTCAGAACCTAGAGTTACATACAACTGAAAACACATTCTAAGTGTTTTCTCTCTCTACCTGCTAACCTCTAATAAGCGTATCCTCAAGTAATCTTTCCCAGGACCATTAGTTCTCGACTCATAACCTCATTTCAAGAATGACTTGAAATGATCAGGGAAGATATTCACACACTCAGACCTTTATGCTCTGGGCATACGTCTGCTACAATGGAGACCCCACACACTTTACATGAAGGGCAGTGAAGTTTTCACTTGAACACAAGTGTGACTGGGGCCAAGTTTCAGGTTCCCCATATTATCAAAAAAAAAAAAAAAAAAAAGACTGTGTGGGTTACCTACATTACATTAATGGGCCCAAAAATAAGTTGAGTTTAAATGATAAGAAATCAATTGTGCTCTAGCCAATTAGAGATAAAAAGAACACAGAGGCTTTACAAAACTGAGTTCCCACACAGGAAGTAGATTTCTTGCAACCAGAGGCTCCACAAGCGTAAACTTTATAAGTAATTACTCTGTGCTTTTCTGAATGGTCTCTCGTTCTACCCTTTGTTTCTTTCTGGACCAGCAGAAGTTATGCTGATGGAAAGAAATTACACCAGGAAAGACTTTTCAACTCCATGCTCAATAAAGATTTTTTCAAGATCAATCTACTCCGAACAAGTCATTCCTCAAACCTCAGCTGCACCCAACATGAAAAATAAAGATACAAACCTTGTTTAGACAGTCTTCGCAGTAAAGTGAGCCCTTTAAACAAACCGGAGGTACCACATTTAGGTGCAAGGAATTGGTGCACAAGTGAGGCGTCAGCTCCGACTGTGAAAGGTGCTCTTCCAAATGCCCTGGAGCCCCGCTTGGGAAATCAGAACAGGGGAGATAGCCAGCAGAGGTGCAGCCCTGGAGAGTCGGAAACTGATGCAGCTTGTGCACATTACTGTGACATGACTGGAAATGGATTTTTCCACAACAGGGCAGGTGTTTGCAGGAAGATAGATTACTCTCTACACACATGCTGGGAAAGTCACTTGCAATGCCTGCCAAGTTGTTCCTAGCTGAGGCATTCTGGAGTGAAGAGGCAGACTGGAAAGCAAACCCTGACCCGACCTGACACGTGATTGTCCTGGTGCTTTGTGAGTCTAAGAGTGCGCCTGCATGAATCAAGCTACCAGTCCCTCCACTGCCGCTGCTGCTGCCTCCACCACCACCACCACCACCACCACCACCAAAACGCATTGGCGAAGTGGAGGGATCATTAGGGCAATGAGCACAGCAGCTTACTTTGGGGACAGTTGAAAGCTGTATTTTAGGTTGCTGAAGAGAATGAATATCAGGAAGTGGGACTGCTGGGAAAAGTTTAGAGCCAGCATGAAGGGGAGATGGTACATCCTTTAATTCCACAGCAACTTTCTTGTTCTCCATGTACTCTTTCTGAGAAGAGAAGATTGAAACACAAGTCAATTTTGTGAGGCCAGTGAATTCTGTTTACTCATATACTACTGAATTAAAACACAGAAATAGTGTTCAACTCTAACACTGAATCACAACCAAACAATGTGGAATAGCAGCTAGCTAAGACCAGAGTCACTCTTCAGAGAAATTCATAGGAAGTGAACATACAAACACACACCTTAAAACAAACACTGTGTTCTTCTTGAATCTTAAAAGCATTAGCCAGGTGCCAGTGGCTCACACCTGTAATCCTAGCTACTCAGGAGACAGAGATCAGGAGGATCGTGGTTTGAAGCCAGCCCAGGCAAACGGTTTGTGAAATCCTATCGTGAAAAACCCCATCACACAAAAGGGCTGGTGGAGTGGCTCTAGGTGTAGGCCCTGAGTTCAAGCACCAGTATGGGGGCAGGGGGAAGCATGGGGCAGGAGTCTGTTTGCAGCTTCACTGAGCCAGGTTAACCAGCCACACATCAGTGACTTCCCCTTTCCTCACAGGATCTTCTGAAGACAAAACAGGGGATATGTAAACAACAAGGAATAACCAGCTTTCAGTAAAGATGGCTGTAAGTAAAATGTCTTACTTTCACTTAATCGTGCCTACAGGCAGTACAAAAGGATTTAGTAGGGTCCCAAAAGGGAAAGAAGAAGATTATATATGGTCTGGCTGTGTTGCTGAAGACACTTAGGAAACCCTAGGACCTACAGTCATAATAACAACAATTATACTGTAGTCAGTGCAAAAAAATAAATTGGAAAACTATCCAGGAAAAAGGTACAAGACAGTGGGTCATGTGACTCCAGCACAGCTACACAAAGCCTGTATGTTACACAGGGAATAAGCCTGGTATTCAGACCAGAGACTTGGGCTTGAGTCAGGTGCTGCACAGCTGTATGACACTGGGTAAGCTGCTTAACATCTCTGCTTCAGTTTCCTCATCTACTAATTGGGAAAAATAAAATGCACACCCACAAGGCACTGAAGGACAAAATGAGATTGAGCATATAAAGCACTCAGTACAGTAGCTGGCCCCTGAAGAGGATCAAACTAACCAGCAGCCTTCATGAGCTGACTGCAGGACCATTAAGACAAGGGGGATACCCTTATATTGGGACTGAGACATGCTCATCCCTTGAAGCACAGAAGGGTCTATCTGCCTGTTACCTGTTCAGTCCTACAGCTATGATTTCTAGGAGAAACCTAGGTTTAGTTAAGACTTCTCTTAAAAAGGAGATAATAGCTATGGGCTGACCAGGCAATGAGCAGTGTCTTGCCCTGCTGATAATTACCGTTTGGACTAGAAATTAATACACTGCCATTCTTATCTATACACATCAGGCTGTTATGGGTGGGGTTATTGTGAGTTGGTCCCCTGGAACTACTTTACTCTGCATGTCACTGTCACAAAGAAGTTTTGAGCTGTGTAGTTTAAGAGTGCAATTCTGAATTGGGTGATTCCATGAGGACCAGATCCACCATCCATCCCGAGAAACCCTGCTTTGAGACAGTAACCCACCTTGGCAGCAGTCCCTAAAATAAAACACTTCTTGAAATAACCCAAACTACTATATGCCTCCAACAGAGTCAGCTGTACAACAAAAACCTATATGAGGAAAGCCTACAGACAGAAAGTTAAACTCATTTTCAAAAGTCTCATCTGAACCCCAAGTAGAAGAGAAAGCTGGTAATACGAGTTCATAAAATCATCATGAAAAAATAAAGCAAGCCAGGGGCCAGGAAGCTCAGTGGAAGACAGTGTGCTTAGGTACATGCAAGGCCATGGGCACTATCAAACCCAGCACCACAATACAAAAACTAAGCAAGAAGTTAAACACATTTGAATACTCAAAAGAAATCTTCAATAATAACAACAGTACAAAACAACTGTCAATAAGGTCTTGTTAATCTCTCCTAATTTATAAGAAGGCCACAGTAAACTAAAGAAAACTAAGAAGGTCACAGTAAAATAAAATTTATTTTCTCCTTTCCTTTAATCTTACTGCACAATCTTTCGAATCTGGGATTTACTAACAAATCTCAAAAACTTAAAAGTATTTAAAGCATCTATTGGTACTCAGCATGGTTCTCACTGAATCAGGAATCCTAATGTGTTACAAGAGGCAGCAAACACAATGGACGGGAAGCCTTGCATACACTCGAGAGAGAGAAACTGCGTCCCAGGCCAAATGGACCTCTCATCCAAACACAAGAAGTTTGCTATGTCCGTGCACATAGTTACCGTTTGGGGACTAAGTGGCAATGTCTGCTCAGGACGGGAAAAGCAATTAGAGAATTTCCAAAGCCATGGCTTAGCATTATTATCTTGTTGAAGCCATCCAAGTGTTCTACTGCAGGGGTTCTCAGTTCCGTTTCCTTCCATCATACAGCCATACAAAGTGGTTCAACATTCTTTCATCTTTCTTTTCTTTCATTCTTCCACCCTGTTAAGAATGAGTGAGATGCAGTGTTACTTCTTACTTGTCTAAGTACACATTTTATAACATATTAAGCCATGAGACTGAAACTACATGGAGGGCAATGACTCCCAACAAATGAAATTTTAAAAGAAGAATGGATACAGAACATATTACAGTTTACTACATTTGGTAAACTTGGTTGACTCTGTTTATGCTTAAAATCTACCTACATCAGTCTAATTTTAAAAATCTATACTCTGTAAAACAAAACAAAAAAAAGTCTATACTCTGCCATTCCTTATGTTCCACAGTTCTTCAAGTAAGAATGAACTCTGGATGAGCCCTTTTTTTATACATAGCCATGCAAAAAAAAAAGGAGCCAACTCTTGGACACTACATATCCTTGAGTGAAAATTCTCTTCTCTTGACTGCAGTCAACCTTCTCGGTTTCAAGTAGATTTTTTTTTTTTTTTAGTTTTTCTTAATTCTTTTTATCATTCTTTCCCTAAAGATTCTGCTTTGGAGAGTCAAGTAATGAACATCATACCAACCTCTCCTACTGAGCCAAATCAAATGGCTGCTGTGGACTTTGATTTCTACTTTGCCCAAGAACAAATCAAAACAACTTTTTAGTTTACTTAATGAAAGTACAATTTGTTTTACTATTAAAAACCTAATGATTAGAGAAATCACAAGTCACAGATGTGCTGTATCTACAACACGAACAACACTCTTACAAGGTTTAAACAGTACAATCAAATCAATCCACATCCACTGAGTAAGAGGAAGCTGGCCAACAGGAAGGACAACTAAATCTCAATTTCAAGCCCTCACCATAAGATACCAACAACCACTTAGCTCATACCTATAGCGCCATTTCCTGGTGATTAGTTTCTCAGAATTTTCATCTGGGCATACAGAAAAGAATTTCTTTTATCTATATCTTTTGATAAGGTGCTCTTTCCAGGGATTCAGGATGTAGCCCAGTGGTAGAGTGCGTGCCTAGCATGCCTAAGGCTCTATGCTCCATCCCCAGCACTGCCAAAACCAAAACAAATCACAAAGCACTTTCCAAGAGATTTTACCATCTACATGGCAGGGGGAGGGAATGAATGATTATACAAATAACATATCTAAGATATATTTAAGGTATAGGAGAACTGATCACATACAGCAGAACTATGGCCTGTCAGCCAAAGCCAGCCCACTGCCTGTATTTAAATAGCCTGTAACTAAGAATACATTTTACATTTTCTTAACTCCTGAAAAAAATTTAAATATGAAATTCCAATCTTAGTGTCCATAATGTTTTACTGGGCCACAGTCATGCTCATTCACTTAACTACATTTATGTCTGCTTTTGTACTATAACTGAAGAGTTAAGTCTTTGCAACAGACATTGACCACAATGCCTAAAATATTTACTATTTGGCCTATTTGTCAGCGCTATAAAACTTTTAAAGTTTCTGTCTCTAGCCAGAAACTGTGGGTGTAGCTCAGTGGAACAACATATGCTTACCATGTGCAAGTCCCTGGGTTGAAACCCCACTCCAACCACAAAAAAAACGGGTATGTTTCTGCCTTTGTAAAGTGTGACTAATTTTTCTCCATCTACCTCACAGCATTAGAGGGGAAAGAAAACTAGCTAAAGACACCCCACTTTCTATTTTCACCATTGTGTCTTGTACCAAGTAGGAAGGAAGGCCTGCTACACAGTAAGTACAAAGTAAATATTTGTGGAACAAGGGAATCAATCATGCACACAATTTACCTTTTCCACAGTTGAGAGTGATTAATTCAGAGACAGAGGTGAAGGTGCATGCCATTCATTAAATCACAATACTTATTTTTCACTATGAAATCCAGGTCAGATGTCCTCCCAACCAGCTCCTCTCTAAAGCAGAACTTGTGATATTCACAGAATACACCATTTCACTATGCTCTCTCAAACCTCTTCAAAGCTCAATCCTGAAAGTACTAACATCTATAGTGTGATAGTTTACAAAGCATTTACATTTAAGGTTTTTATTTCCTAGTCCAGTAAATGTTTACTTAGTATCTACTATGTAGCAGACCTGTGCAGAACACAGGAACACAATGATGAAAAAAACAGGGCAATAGGTTCCTCAGTTATCTTTTTTTCCTCAGTATTTCTGTAGGGTGGACAGGAGAAATTAGTCACACTTTACAAACAGCAAAGAAAAACTATGAAGCTATCAGGCTGGAGGAGTGACTCAGGAGAAAGGATGCCTGCCTAACAACCCTGAGGCCCTGAGTTCAAGGGCTAGCCTGCCAAAACAAATAAAAATAAAGCAGTTTTGTAGCTAGCCTCAGATCACACAGTTACTATAGAAAGGACAAACTAGGCTTGCCCACCTCTTTCCACTACACCAAGGTGCCTTCAATATCGCTCAATATAATAAAAGTAAAAAACTTGTCAGCAGCCCACACACCCCCAACATTCCTAAGATGCCCCTAAGAAACACAGATAGCCAAAGTGGGTTCTGTTTGATTTCAGTGGGAGTCTCCTGTCTGCCACTATCTCTGTCTTTGACAATTCAGATACTGGCTGAGCACACAGGCTATGCCCTCATACTGCCTGCAAGTTAGCTCCCAATTCTACCCTGTTCTACCTGTGAAGTTTTGGGTAACTCACAACCTCAGGTTCAAACCTGAGATCCCATCTCCTATGTGGGTAACACCCTTATTGGGGAGTTTGGTTAGAACACTTAGCAAATGGCTTTCCCTTCCTCATCACTCAGTCTAATCCTGGACTCCCATTATCCCCACCCCCAATAGCTCTTCTATCTTTATTTGCTCGCTACTATATTACCTTCTCCCCATTAGAATTCATGTTCCTCGACATCAGGGACTGTATTTTCTTATTTATTATCGTATATCCTGCACTAAGCACATTGCCTGGCATATATCAATAACTAATTGTAGAACGAATGAAATGTTCAGTAAATGTCAACAGAGATCATTTCGGTTTCGATTTCCCTGTACTCAAAAAATTGTCGCTCAGAGATGCTGGGAAGTCCAGAAGATACAAAAGTAACTGGAAAGCTCTAGGTCATATAAGCCAAGGTCCTTGGGAAACTAAGGGGTGTTTCACAAGTTAGCGTTACAATTAGTAGGGGGAGTGGCTGAAGCCCTAAGGCTACATCCTAAGGAGTTGCTGAGAAGCCGAGCAGAATGGAAACCACTCTGGAAAAGTGTGCAAAAACAGCACCCTTAATCTTTTTTCCTCTTAAGTTCCCAACTTTGCACACTCCTCTGGGAAGGTTGCTCCTGACACCTGGAGGGCCCAACAGGGAGCAGGGAGACAGGTGCGGGCAGGGAGCCAAAAACCCCTAAGGGGGGAAAGCGTCGCAACAGTGACAGTAGCGAACGAACTTGAAAGGGAGACAGCCAACTCTTGAGGGGGGTTTGTCTGGCGGGTCCCAATCCTTTCCCTCAGCCTAGCCAACCCCCCCCCCACAACCTCACCAGCAATAGGTGGGGGAAGGGGGGCACCGTCCCTTAGCCGGCTCCAGTGTTCCTACAGCTGTGGACCCGCCGGGGTCTAGTCCCAGCACTGCCAGCAAACTCACCTCAGCCGCCGGCTCCACCTCCGCTCACATTCCGGCCCCGCCGCCTTCCCCCCGCCCCCCCCAGGCCCTTTGTTTTGATTCCCGACTCCGCAGCTCCCGCCGCCGCCGCCAAGCGCACCCTCCACTTCCGCTTCCGCGCCGCACCACCCCTGTCGCAAAACCGACGCCCTTCTCTCCCGCTCGCCCCGCCCCTTCCTCCTCCCTTTCCTCGCGGACGCGTCCTCCGCGCGCGGGGCATGCTGGGAACCTCGGGGGGGGCGGGGCCTCGCGGCCCTGCAGCCTCGTCAGGCTCAGTCCCCTCCCGATAAACCCCTAAATAAGGACTTTCCTGGGGGGCGACCCGGCCTTTTTCTTCAAGATCCCCCCAGATTAAGGAGGTCTTCCTCCCGGCTTCACGTCACAGAGTGTAATGGAACCTCAAAGCAGAGAATTAGGGCGCTTGTTAGGTGGAACTGAAGGAAGACCAGCTAAAGGGGATTTAGTGCAATTCAGCTCTTTTTTGGATGCTTCATGAGAAGGCAGTTTAAACGCGATTTCAATGAAACACCCGATTGCTTCAGCTTGTTATTTTTTTCTTTTGCTTCGTCACGTGATAGTCTTTTTTTTTTAAATTAAGTGGTGCATACTTCACAGCATCCTTTAATATAGTGCAACCTAGTGGCGAGTGAAGGAAAAACAGGCAAAAAACCCCCCAAAACCTGCCAAGTGTGCTTCCTCAAGGTCCTTCCTGCTTCCTGCAGTTTGGACTCAGCTGATACAAATAAAGTGACTGCAAAGACGAAGCTGGATATTATCAGCAAAAATTAAGAGGTCCTTGGTGACCTTGATAGGTTGGGCAAACAGGGGACCTTAAGAGTTCAAAAAAGTTTTGCAAAGCAACACTGTTTAGGTGAATAAACATGCTATGTAAGTGTTTTGCTTTTGTGTCTTTGCATGGCACTTCACTATCTTCATGCAACGTAAAATACATATTATATATGTACGATTCTGTAGGCAAAAGGATGACTTCTGAAACTGCCAGCTGCTACCTATTTCCTGTTGCAAATTAAGAGAAAAGCAAAGCATATAGTATCTCAATGTAGACACACTTTAGGATGGGCTCACCGAATATTATTTTAAAAATTTATTTATAAAGTTTACCAAGAAACAAATTAACTTTGCAAAAGAATTAGGAAGTATAAAGTGCCAGATGAAGCCAGGCACTGGTGGTTCACACCTGTAATACTAGTTGCTTGGGAGGCTGAGATCCAGAGGATCACAGTTGGAGGCCAGCCTGGGCAAATAGTTCCCAAGACCCCCATCTCCAAAATAACCAGAGCAAGATGAACTGGAGGTGTGGCTCAAGCGGTAGAGCGCTGCTTTGCAAACATGAAGCCTTGAATTAAAACCCCAGTCCCACCAAAAAAAAAAAAAAAAAGCCAAGTGAGAACATTTGGTCTTGGATGTGGTGATCTCATTAGGCAATCCGAATTAATTGGGGATTAATCCATCCCTGTAGACACCTTTGTAGACAGGTATTGTGAAGGGCAAGATCAAACAAGCAGCTGCAGAATCCTCTGTGTCTGTCTCTAATTTTCCAGAAGGCCCATGGCAAGACCACATTATTGCCTTGTAGGTATTTATTACTGAGTAAATCTTCCTTGTGTCTGTGTGTGGGTAGTGTTTCCCAAGTGGAATTAAAACAGATGAAAAACAACCATGTTTCTAACATTTTGGTTTTTAAGTACCAAACAAAAATATGTTACTCTTTATAGGTGGTTTTTTTCTTCCTTTTTGTTCTAGGTGAGTATATCTGAATACACATAATATTAACTAAAAATATTAAAAACAAATTAAAGTGATTGTAGATTTTAAATTACTTTAAAAAATTAGAGTGCAGAAGCATTTTTGTTTGACTTTGCTTGGCATTCCTTCAAGTTCAAAGATGCACCTAGTCTCAACAGGTAAATGCAATGAATAAAAGCAAACCAGTTACATAAATGGAAGGCTAGTGAAAGTCTGAATTACAAATATTTTTAAAAGAATCAGTTTTTGCTTATGCAGAGTATTACTGACCTTGTATAGGAGACAATTACATATTGAAATACAATTTGATCTTTTATGAAAGATCAAATACAATTTGACTTTCTCTTCAGAAAATATATCTGCTATTTCTCAGGGGAAGTTTCAGTCCCTTATCATAAAGATATTATTCATCAATCCTGTCCTTCCCTGATTCCAAGGTAACTGCACAAGAGAATGGCTAAGAGCAAAGGACAACAGGTACAAATGGAGAGAGCAATGCCAAGCTTGTCTCCTGTTTTTAGTTAATCCATAGGCCCAAGTAAGGAGTCAGTGCTTTTCAGCAAAAGCAGTTTAAGTACCTCTTACAATTTTAAATGATAAATTATGATGGAAGGGTGGGGTCTAAAAAAATTATGGTAGAACAGCCTAAGGAAGAGAAACTCAGCTCTTTACTCAATCATATCTCAAAGCTGCAAGGAAAACAATTGAATTTTTTAAGAAGAAAATATTTTAAAGTATATCACAGCTTTGTCCTCACTTACAAGGTTACCCGATGGCACACCCATTTCCCTAAACTTTTTTTTTGGCAGCTAAACTTTTTTTTACGGAATAAGACTTTAGTGATAATCATCTCAATGCCTTATCCCTTTTTTCATGGAAAATTTGGTAAGTTGAGAAACAACTAGTTTAAATGAGTTGATCCACACTGTTTATCTATCTTCTTGTATACTGGGGTTTGAACTCAGGACTTCATACTTGCTAGGCAGGCACTTTACCACTTGAGCCACTCCACCAACCCTTCTTTGTATTGGGTATTTTTGAACTATTTGCCTGGCCTGCCTTTGAACCATGATCCTCCTGATCTTGGCCTCCTGAGTGGCTAGGATTGCAGGTGTGAGCCAATGGCACCCACTGATCCATGCCATTTAGAAGTTTCAACAGATGAGGGCTGGGGGAGCTCTGTCAGCTTCCCACTTTCTGTGCAAAATCACAGGTACTTGAGATTCATCCATGAAAAGCATTTCAAGGTGTCACACAAGGAATCTCACAGGTGGAAGTTTTAACAAGGACTTATTTTAGTTTAGCAGGATAAAGAAGGGAGAAATGGGGGAAAGGGAGAAACATTTCCTGCTCCCCACGCAGGAAATGGGAGTAAAGACTCCAAATGGTGGTTCTTACTGTGGCCTGTACACTTCCTGAGCTGGAGAATGCATATGGTCCTGTGTCTAGCATGGGCTGGGAGCTGTTTACTGTTCTAAAACATGGAGAAGAGGACTAGGCCTACCTAAAACACAGGACCATAGGGAGTTTTAGGACTTCTTTTGCAAGACCTGCCTTCCTTTTTTCAGTCTCTCTAGGCCTTCAAGGGGCCTGGCAGCTTCTTACCATCTCAGAGGGGAAAGCAGATGCAGACAGCCCAGTCATGTTTCCCTGTTCTTGCAACTTAGCATTTAAGGGAGGTGGGAGGGGGGCTAGCTGCTCTGGGTTTTCCTGGCTGTAATGTATTTGTTGAAAATAATATTATTTACCTGGCTCATCAGGACCAAGAGCTGAGGGTATGATAGAGCACTTAAGCTTCAGGTCCTAAATTCAAATTCCAATGCCATAAAACAAAAGGAAGGAAAAAGAAAAAGAAATAAAGAAAGACTACTAGAGAGGACCATACCCTATCAATTTGTGCTTTTGTTTATCTACAGATTGGGGTGATTGATTATTCCTTACTCAGAAACCTCACAGAGTTGGTGAGGGTCAAATAAAACTGTAAAAGTGAAAACATCAGATCAAGTGTAAGCAGGTTATGAATGATTCACTACTAGTGTTTGGAAGGCTCCTGAAACTCATTCAGGTACTTTCCTTAACTCTGTTGATGTGGGCAGTGGGATTCCCTTTTGTGTCTCTGAGCTTCTAGGAACTTACAAGGAGTCAAAATAAGAGTTAGAGAATGGTCATCCTCACCATAGCAGGGAAGAACACCATTGCAGGATCCCGACAGCCAGCTCTGAAGGCTGATTTATTAGTTACTGCTCATAGGACTTTGAATAACTCATTTAACTTCCGGCCCTTGTTTTCTCACCTTTATTTCATTTTATTTTTTGAAGGTACTAGAATTTTGAACTTAGGGCCTTGAGCTTGCTAGGCAAGTGCCCTACCAGTTCAGTCAGGCCTCCAGTCCTCTTTGCTTTGGATTATTTTTCATATAGGGTGTTTTTTTGTCCCTGTCCTCAGCCAAGGATCCTCCTACCTAGCTATGTCACTGGCTCCTGGTAGCTGGGATTACAGCTATGTACCACTACACCCCACTTGTTTTCTCATCTTTAAAATGAATACAATGAAAGTGTCTTCCTATAGTTATCATCTGGGGCTCAGCTCTATGGTCACCTCCTTATAGTGGGTTTCCCTGACCATTCTACTGGCAGTGACCCCTCCCCAGCCCCTCTTTATCATGACTTGGCTTTAGTCAAAGCACTTAACATCTAAAATTATTTTACGTTGTTTGCTGGTTTAATCTCTTTCTCAAAAATATAAGCCCTTTGTAAGAATGCCTTATATATATACACACACACATATATATAAGAATACTATACATATATATGTTAGATACAGAATTTTTTTGTTGTTGTTGTTGCTGTACTGGGGTTTGAACTCAGGGCCTACACCTTGAGCCCCAGCCCCCACCCCCCTATTTTTTGTGATGGATTTTTTTCGAAATAGGTCTTGGGAACTATTTGCCTGGGCTGACTTTGAACTGCAATCCTCCTGATCTCTGCCTCCTGAATAGCTAGGGTTACAGGTCTGAGTCACCAGAGCTGGGCTTCCAATAAATATTTATTAGGGGACAATTAGCGTTTCTGTGAAAACTGAATGGAAAAACACGTGTCAAAACGTTAGCATTTTACCCAAGTCATAACCGTTAAAAAATCATGGGTATTTCACCAGCACATATATTGTACTTCCCATGTGCAAAGCACTGCCGTAAATTTTACAAATGCTACCTCATTTAGTCCTCTGCATAATCCCATTGTACTATTTACTGATGT